CATTTTCAGCCTGGAGATCTGCACCCGGGACATCTGGGTCACATCATTACTGCAATCTTCTGCTTGTTCATTCCCAGCTTTACGGGGCTTAGAGTGACAGACCTGCAGACAAACATTGACACAAAGCACACACACATACAAGGATACAGATATATCCAGCATGTAACAGTTGCAAACGTTGAAATAGATCACGTCTGAAAGAAGATAAAATGATGTTTAGGCTTCTGAGTAAGACAGATGATGAACTACATTGAAGAAACTGAATAATGTACATGCTGTTTAAAGATGTGTGTATGCCAAATTAAAGTGTTTCTGAATAGCCACTCTTATAAACTCATAAAATACATAAATGAATATAAATGATTATAAATGATTACAAGTATGACCTGAGGTGGACTAGTAACAAACTGCCCTGCAGCAATCACCTGTTTTCTGGAGGAAGTTCAATGTATCTGTTTGGTGCAGTCACATCGCCCTCTAGTGGCAGAAAAGTGGTTTTACAATAGAGTGGTAGTTCCACAGAGTGACCAACAGGTGGTGCTGCTGAACAACAGAGCAAAGAGGCAGGTGAATTAAAGTTAGCAGGAGCAACTCTGTCTTCAATAGACATAATTTGTATAAAATAAAAATATTTTGCTTTACTGCAGTTTATATCAATAATCCAAGACAGTATACTTATAGTTATGAAGCAGATAAAATGGGCTGTGATGACACAAAACTTATGAATGAAGGATTTTAACCAACAGAGTAGAAACTGCAGCTACATTTTATCCCTTCACCAAAAAGTAAAGTTCTTGAAATCAAAGCTCCTGAAACAAACAGAAGTTAAATATCTAGAGTATTCATGTGAAAAAGATTTTTTAAAAAACAACAAAAAAAACAAACAATATGATTGACCAGGAAGAATGTTACCAATTAAGTATTTAGAAAAAAGCTTTATGTCTTGTTTTACCTGTATTATTTTTATTATGTTACTTTTAGCTATATAATAATAATGAACTGAAAGTTTGCACCATTCATGAAAAAATCTATACAGTTCTACAGTTAATCTACAGTTTGCAATAGTTAGAATAAAAAACAAAATAGACCAATAATAATTAACCCTAACTAATTAATCCACTAACTAACCCTAACCCTATGAAAGATGTCTTTTTCTACTCCAGAAAAGTCACAAGAATATGAATATATATATATCACACCTTGTGTTTTCCTGAATATAGGCTATTTTATTCCCTAAAATCCTAAAGAGTCCTAAAACCTGCCTCTTGCATTATATTGACACAGTCACGATTTAATTATGTAATGTGCCAGTTATGTTTTGCATTGACTGATGTACCAACCTTTAGTCTATAGATGACAAACAGCTGATGACAAGAAGCAAGAAGCCAGGACATTTAAGTGTATTTTTAGAGTGGCTCCTGAATATACCACAAGTGCTATAGAGGGGATTACTGTGTGACGTCGTCGGTGTTCAGCACATGTGATCCCCTCACATTCGGCTCATGAGGATTTACCTGCCTGTCACCAGGTGAGTGTTAATCTAAAAACTCTGCTCCAGGTGAGGCTCGAACTCACAACCTCGGCATTGCTTTGCTGAATACTGTCATATAAGTACCGCGCGCTAACCGATTGCGCCACTGGAGCTTCGGCAATGCTCGGTCAAGAAATCGGTTTAAGACAGACGAAAGCTCTCGTTTACAATCAATATGTTATAATTACGTCGTGTTGTGTTTTCAGTCAGTGCAGCGAAATAAATAATGGAGACTGGATGAGAACTTATGGTCGCAGAGAGTCCGGCAGTCAACAGCTTACACACGGGCCGACTCACATGCTGCGTTCAAGTACTTCTCACACAGCTCCGACACAGCAGTATTTAAGCCTTTTGTGTGTTTTACTGTTCCTGTTTTTAAAAAAGAACAACAAACAAATAAACAATGTGACTTTTGTGGTGGTGACTCTGATAGGCTAATGATATGATATGATGATAAATGCAAAGTATTTTACACATGACAAAATAAAGAGAAAATCAAAATATGATGCATCAAATCAAGACAAAAGTGAAAAAAAATGAAGTAAAAAGGAAATAGCTGGAGAATATTAATATATAGATTGCCTCAGAATAAAGGTGATGTTCAGGGTCCCCCCAAAAAGGTTTGGAAAAAGTGCCCCAATGGCCACTAATACTGGCACATTTTGCAATGACAACTAAAAACCTTCCCATAAAGTCACTGTACAATGCACCACCACTGCCCCAGCTCTTCTAGCTACTGTATGACAACTGGATACTTTTGGGATTGGGGGCCTCGATGGGCTTCTTTTCCACTTGATTTGAAGCAGCAGAGCACATAGGCTACAAGTTACTTGAGGACTTGAGTAAATGTATGTATGAAGGCTACATTTCCATCACTGGACAGATGTAGTAGGTAGATGGCAAGTTTAGGTTCATTAGAAAGTGAAATTAGTAATGCAATTCAAAACAGTGCTAATAAACCCATACTCATGTTAATATGTAAAAAAAATATCACTTTGATTATAAGACTTTCATAGTCTGATAAATCATCAGACTCACTTGGTGTTACTGTGACATATTGCTTGAAGCTAGTCCTTTCTTAAATTCAATATTTCAGACAGCAGGTGAAGGCAGCAGATTTTTACAGGTGCTGACTGTGCTACTGATTAACTCAATATACACTACCTGGCCAAAAGTATGTGGACACTCCTGCGATTTGGGATATTTTTCAGCGTGTTGCTTAGGACTCATAGCTCCAGTTAAGGGAAGCGGTGACACTTGACTTTAAGCCCCCCCTTATCTTGCATTTATAATCAGTATATAAACATGTAACAAGTGGTTTATAACAGACTATAATATAACTGTAAACAGAGCCAAGTGTTTATTAATGTATTTGTTAATAATTCCACCTGTGAGCAAACATAAGTGGAAGCTGCTGGATAAGCAGATAACAAATCATAATATAGTAACAACATAAAACATGTCTTCATAGGAAATGATATCATTTTTGACAACTTCAGTACATTCATAAAAATTTACGTGCCCTAATAGCTGCTTACAATTACTTTGTAGTGTGTTAAATATATTGCTTATAAATGCTAAATAGTAAAGTGTTATCAGAAATGCTTTTCTGAGTTTGGTGTGGAATAACTGGACTGCACAGAGTCCTGACATCAAGCCCATCCAGCTCCTTTGGGATGAACTGGACCATGGACTGTGTGGACTGTGAGCCGGGCCCAACATCAGAGTTCAGCCTCAGTAATGCTCTTGTGGCTGACAGGGAACAAATCTCTGCAGCCAGGTTCCAAAATCTTGTGGAAAATCTATAATACACATTCAGCTGTCCACATACTTTTGGCCACTACTGTGTCGACACAGCAGTTTTCTTCTTATCCACTGAAGCCCCACATGCATATAGCTTAAAGACAAATCCAGTTACAGCATGTCAGGTTCAATCTAAACATTGTTTCTCATTTTCACCCCTGGGTGCCACAGACTGTATAAGAAATATGGTGGAGACACCCAGCAGCTGCAGCAGTCGACCACGGTCACGTTTTAAAGCTGCGTGCTGCAACGAGAGGGCAAAGTGGCAAATGAAAAACCTCTCTTAACACAACGAAGGAGGCTGTGTCAACACATAAACACACACAGCGAAGTACCTCGAGGCAGGCTGCAAGCTTCCGAGAGCAAGATTTATAATCTGAGAGCGCTCCCTATTCCTCATCACTGTGTCAAATTGCCATATTTTGTGGGGGTATTTTACGACAACCTCGCACAGGCCACAGTGTGTATCAGGTCCCATATATCACACTCCCCCTCAAGAGCAACACAACGAGAGACAGAGACACAAAGATGAAGTAGGAGGCTGGGAGAAAGGACAGGCTGTCAGTATATAATACCCGGAAATGACTCACTGAGACTGGACAGCATAATCTGGCACTGTGTTGTTGTTGGGTTTTTTTTATTATCATTATTATTATTATTATTTTCAGCATATTCATAATTCAACACAATACATACAGGAAACACTAACATAAACATTCTGAATGAAAGAGAAGAAATCACGTGACCCATTGGTCAGAGGAGGCTCTCACCTCAAAGACATGCGGCGGCGATGCCAGTTTTAAAACTCATTAATAAACACACCTGAAGCCTGGATGGGTTAACCGGCAATGTTTTGAGGCCCCCTTGGCAATACTGTCATGCAGCAGGGAGAGAGAGAGAAAGAGAGAGGGAGGGAGTGGTCTGAAAACTGGAAAGACTTGACCAGGAGCTTGAAAGAACAAATGCAATGAAGAAAATAGATGTTGCTAGCAAATAGCAAACAGCTGCTGGCAAAGTTGCTCTCATGTTTGGCCTCAAAATATAGCTGGTTCATCACAGACTTGAGTAAAATATGACAGATCCATGCCCTTTTCTGCTGCAAAGGAAGTGCTTTAGTACCCAAGTTAGGGCTAGGTAGGTACAGTCGCCCATAGAAATAGGATGAGTAGATTTACAGTGCTGTAATGAGATATACAATATATTATACACTGGTTCATGAGGGAGGCTTAGCTCTATGCTCTATTTCTTTGCCTTGTTATGTTTCCGAACCTGCAGATTCGCCGTGAATCCGCTTTCTGGGTAGAGTTACAGAGGGTTTGTTAAATAATGTCTGCAGCTTGTCATTCGTCATCGCTGGCTCCAGCTTTTTGATTTAGACTTTGAGATGAGCGTGAAAAACTGCAGGTAAAACACAATTTAAAGCAAGCCGTTTCTCAAGAGGCTGCTGCTTCACTCACAGTATAGTGCATTTTCTTTTCTTTTTTTTTCTTTTTTTTTTGTATGTCAGCATCGGACAGTTGCCTCCATTGTTACAAGACCCTCAGTCCCCCACAAATGAAAACCCACCCACCCCCCCACCCTTCCCATCCAATCCCATTCCCATCCCACCTTAATCCCCCATGCCCCCACCCCAGCCCCCCCTCCCAAAATAACTTTATACAAACCGATAAAACTTCACAACAATTCACCATCAACACAAAGGTCACACAAAGCTCCGTCATTATGTTCATCCAGAAAAACTAAGAACAGCACACGTCAGCATCCCCGTCATTCGCTCATGTGTTGTTGGCATGATCACGCACACACTCATACACACACACACACACTCTCTGCCTCTCTGTCACACACTCACATGCACACAAACACATTCCCAGGGGATTAAAGACAGGCAGCACTTGCAGTCAGGTCAGGTGTATGTCTCTATTGCATCACGGCTCATCACATCCTTCTGTTGCCAAACAGTGAGACAGCTTGTTTAAGTGTGGTCGTGGATTATGAAGAAAACTCCAGGACTAAAAGCAAAGGAGGGTTTTGAGGATTCAATGAGAGAACAGGAGGTGAGAATTTGTTAGTGTGTATGCAGGTGGGGGTGTGGAGGTCGGAGGTCGGCTGTGTCCGGTCAGTCGTGGATGACGATGGGGCCTCGCATCCTCAGGCTGGGGTGAGGGTGCGGAGGGGCCAGGACGAGTCCCTGCGGAGGGCCCTGGGAGACCCTGCGTAGGGTGATCTGCTCGCAGGGCTGCCGGCAGGCGTGCCTCAGCTGGGAGCGGGACAGCAGCCGCCTGGCCCTCCTGGGGGTGTGGAGACAAGACAGGACATAAGTGCAGGAGAACATACACTGATAACAGAATAATATCCAGACTGAAAGATCATAGCAGTAATAACAGTTGCAGTGGTGGTAACTAAGTACATTTACTCAAGTTAAGGTATTTTCTGCTACATTATACTTCTACTCCATTGCAATACAATGGCAAATATTATAGTCTTCACACCACTATATCTATCTTACAGCTGTAGTTGCTAGTTACATTACAGATTTATATTAATTAGTATAATCAACAAATAGACCAAGATGCATTAGTTTGGAATAAACTACCCAGCAGAATATAAAGTAATTAAAATTAGCTCCAACTTTACCAGCTGCAACATTAATGCATTAATTATTTTTATCCAATAATATACATTAACTTAAAATGGGGCAATCTGCATAATGAGTGCTTCTCACTTTTGGTATTTTTGAATATATCAATTTGCCCATTAACTTGAGTTTGAGTTGATAAACAATATAAAGCCTCTACAATTCCATCACAGCTGTTCAATCCTTGTTTTTCTGATGACTTGTGCTGAGACTGTTTTGAACCTGTCGGGCTCAGCTGTTATGTTATGCGAGTGGGTGGACAGAGTAGTAGTGATGACATTTTAATTTGAGTCACAACTCTCACTCAGAGCACAACGTACGCTGTGGCTGCACTGCGCTCTGGTCTGTTGAGTTTATTGATGTAGGAGAAAATGATTCATCTCTGCCTCTGATATTTGGTCAGTTTCACTTTGATAAAAAGCACACTCACTGTTTTTGAGTGCTTTAAAGGGACAGTTCAACATTTTGGCAATTACTCTCATTCACTTTCTTCATGGTTATACAAGAAGATTGATGCCACTCTGCCACTCTGCACAGTAGATATGAAGTTACCGTCTGCAGCCAGTTAGCTTAGCTTAGCGAAAAGACTAGAAACAGGGGGGAAGCAGCTCGACGGCCTCCATCCAAGGTTAACAGAACTCATCTACCGCAGCCTTTATAACTCACTGCTTAACATGTCATTTGTTTAAAAGCCAAAGAGTAAAAAATGGCAATTCACAATTTTAAGCAAAGGGTATGTGCCAAACTATTTCTTTTGTTTTTATTCGTATTAAACAAACAAGATACCGTAGGGGGCTTCAGAGGTGCTGATAGGTCAGTGTTGTTACCTTTGGACGGACGCCAGGCGAAGTGTTCCCCGTTTCCCCCTACTGGCTTTAGCTTCATATTTACTGTACGCTCAGCAAGAGAGTCAAGAGGCATATTTTCAAATGTGTCAAACTTTTCCTTTAAGGTTTTTTTTCTTAACTGCATGTTTTGTGATTTGGGAAATTGCGGATTTTGGATTTGATTGCATTTATTTCTTTTCTTTAACCTTTACTTCAACTAGGACATTTTTATTTTACAGGAAACTCAGGAGAAGCTTGACGATTCAAAACACATTGCATTTCTTCATGAAACGTGTTTTGAATGTGATGTTTGAGGCCTTACATTTAAACATTACAGCTGAAAATTCAGTAGTAGCCAAAAATTTATGATTGCATCTTTATGTCTCAGAGAGTAACAGTGACTACGTCTACAGCTAATGTTTGTCTGAATACATTATTTATATGTAGCTGACTACAGGCTTGATGTGTCTAGTGCTTCTAGCTGCTTCTCATTACTGTGGCCATTCTGCAGTTTGGCTGCAGCAGCCTGCAGTGGGAAAAAAAGTGGCAACACATAGAAATATTGGCTGTGGGCTGTGGGCTGTGGGCTTTAGGAGATGGCTTATTCGTCATGTATATTATTGGTCTACCGGCAGTTTGACAAACAGTGCATGATGCTGAACTACTGGTAGTTAATTGCTTGATTGCTTGGTTGTAAAAATGGCATTACTCAACAATCAATTCCGTTTTAAGAACATAGTTTGTTTTCTTTGTTCAGCGGCCCTGCCGTTACGAGCGGCAGCTTTATATGAGGTGTAAAGCGCAGAGCCAAAAGATGGAGAAAGTAATAAAGAGGGAAGACTGTGAACTTTAAGTCAGTTCAAATGATTAAATACAAGAAGAAGAGTTCAGTTTAAGGGCACCAAATTAAGGTTCAAGGCCGCTGAGAAAGTAATTAGAGACAGTCACTTTTTCTCATTTCGGGAGGATTCACTGAAGCAGAGTGCAACATGTCTCGAGCGTCAGGAATAGAATTACGAAGACGCAGCTCTGTTATGAAGCAAAAGAGAGGGGCATCTCTGCGGGATTTTTCAGTGGCTCACTGGTAATTTCCAGACTGCAGAGGGGCTCTGTGCCGCGAGAGGGAGGCTCTTTTAGCAGCCTCAGACACTAAACACAAAGACCACGTGGCACACTCACCAATGTCGGACACGCCACTAATGGAATTCATTTGGAGACAAATGAATGCAAATGCACCGCAATGTATAGGTGATTATTCATTGTTCCCTTTAGGCGGTCAAGGAGAAGCCTTTCAAATCTAATGCACTGCAAAGCCCTCTACATGTGCTATCATTTTCTCCCTCTTTCACTGCTCTCTCCTCAGCACCGGGGATGTTTTTCTTGTATAGTGAACAGGAAAACACATCCATCCCCTCCAGATCCCCGCTGTTGATAAAATCAGCACTATAGAGCTCTCATGCAGACTCTGTACATTATGTGCATGTATATCCTCGCTCAATAAATACGTCTCAAAAGTGCATGCAACTGTCACGCATCTACACACACATCCCCCATTTTTCTATAATGTCGTATACTCTGTATTGTACTTGTACTGGTACACAGCATTACATACATATTGTCGCTTAGAGTCAGAGCAGAATATAAACCGGGCAGGAACGGAACAGATTTTTGCTCTGGTGGCACATTATCTAAAGCTCTGCTGTTTGTCTGTTCAGCTGGCCGTCGGGAGGAAAGCAAGCATGTAAATCCACTCTCAAACACAAATCAAGCTATCTCGTCCACATTTCTCTTTCGCTTTCTCTCATTCTGTTCCAATTCCTGATGCTTTGTCCTGTTATTTCTCTGTGTCCAAATCTGACGTATCTTTATCTAACACTCGGCACAGCCATGGAAGAGTTAATCGCATCCTTCAATTAAGTAAAAGTACCAATACTACAATGTAAAAAAAATACAAGTTAAAAAAAATCCTACTTGAAAGAAGTTTAGTATTATCAGCAAGAATCAAAAATAAAAGCGGTCGTCCTGCAGAAAAATGGCCACTGTGCCTGATGCATTACTGCTATATAACTTTATTAGATAATGAAGACGCATTGATCTGTAAGCAGCAATTTGCTGTTGTAATTATTTCACATAGAGTTAGGTGTTTTTTAGTCCAGTGGTTCCAAACCTAAAGCCCACGATAACTCACACAAGATAAATCTGAGGTGTCGTGAGGCTGCTAGTTCTGCTTCACATTTGGACTGTTCTCTAATCTTTGTTTAATATATACATGTATTGTATAGGTATTGCATTTTTTATATTTTCATTATATTTTATAATATTGGATGATTTCACTAAACAGTTGTCTGTGTTAACTGTCTGAGAGGTTTACAGCCACTGGCAGTGTAATTTTGTGGGATGAATCAGGCACTAACCAAATGCTTGCTGGTTCTTACCAGTAAAAAAAAAAAGAAGAAAAAAAAAGACCTTGGCCAACAAGGGAATAACAAGTTCTGGGGAAAAGCAGAAATAAATTATACTCTAATACATACTTATTATGCAGTATTTATATTGTTTTGTTTTATTCAGTTGTGCCAACATTAAAGTACCAGCAGGAACCACTCAGTATTTTATTAGAACCTGATTCACTCAATGAAATTACACTGTAAATCACAGGCTGTATTAAAAAGTCTTACCTAAACCTTGATCTGAAAGGCAACAACAACGGAAATAACAAGTGCACTTACCCCCTTTCAAACATTGTGGAGTAGAAGTATAAAGCAACATATAATGTAAATACTCAAGCAATGCATTACAAGTGTACCTGACTGGAATGATTGCTAGAGATATTCATGGTCCCCAGAGGTTGAATATTACTGGCTCTACTGATCCTCTGACTGTTGATTAACATTTTCCTTTTTATCATTTCAGTGTAAAATAAAAAGGCTTTGAATGGATCGCCATCAAATCACAAAAAACGTTTTGTTTCCCAGAGAATGAATGGTGATAATTTGTTGATCCCACAACTGTTCATGTTCTTATTATCTTATTATTCACCGTGTAACTTATGCTCAGAAAAGTGTTAATTTGCCATCTCTCTCTGCTTCTGTCTCTATTTGTCTCTCTTGCCATCCTCCTTGAATAAGTGGGAGTGATCTCCTCTCTGCTCTGTGACACACTGCGCTCTTCATCACACTGAGAGAGCGAAAGAGGAGCAGAAAGAGATGGAGAACGGGGAGAAAATGAAACATCCGAACATCTCTCATTAGCAGCAGCCTTTTCAGAGAAGATCTATTAATGTCTTTTATTCAGAAATGCATTAATTGTCTCCACGAGGAGAGTGAATCGCAGTATAATGTAACAGAAAGGGTACAGTATTCAGAATGAAGCTATCTCTCTCTCTCTCTCTCTCACACACACACACACACACACACACACACACACACACACACACACACACAGCCATGTTGTCTTGGTGGGAAGTGAGTAATCCATATGAGTCCAGCCATGGTTAATGTGGTAATGATATTCCCACTCAGGCCCCAGTGGTGCCTGGCTCCTCGCTGGCCCATCTGTACCAGTTAGCCGCTCTAATTTTAGCCCCGGCGGTCCGAGGGCGGCTGTGAGGGCCGGGTGCCATGGCTCATTTAGACACAGGCTTAATGGAAGAACATATTTCTCTCTCACATGCAGACACGCAAACTTTGACTCATTACGTGCATGAGAGAGTGTGTGCTATGTGTGTGTGTGTGTGTGTGTGTGTGTGTGTGTGTGTGTGTGTGTGTGTGTGTGTGTGTGTGAAAATAAAAAGAAACATATTTTTGTTGTGTGAAACATTAAGACACTGTGTGTTTATTCAACTCTATATTCAATCATGTTTGCAACATAATTTGTTCTGATGGTCAGTGTTGGCAAAGAGAAACAGGCAATAAATATAAGTAATGTGTGTGTGTGTGTGTGTGTGTGTGTGTGTGTGTGTGTGTGTGTGTGTGTGTGTGTGTGTGTGTGTGTGTGTGTGTATATATATGTATGTGGGTCAGGCAGGGACGTGAATGCCGAGTGTCTGTGTTTTTGTGTGGACACCTGTATGTTTCTGTGGAACGTGCACAGGCTGTGAAAACGAGTCTCGCCTTGAGACAACAAGGGCTTATCTATGTACAGAGCAATAAAAAAAAATCAATCACTGCAGGATGCTAGCCATCGCATTTTGTGAAATTGTGTGGGAATTTGTTCCGAACAAATGAAAATGTTAACCCGAACATGGCGCTGGATGAAAACTTAGGGGTTCACCAAAGTTATTACAGTTCATCCTGAGGGGAGCATGAATGACGAAATTTTGATGGCAATCCAACACTAAAAAAAATTAATAAATAAATAAAAAAGAACCTGAATTGTGACACTGAGGAAAAGTCAAAGGTCCAATAAAAAGTAATGATAAACCCTCCGATGGCTGATGAGATATTTCAGTCTGGTCCACTTCAGTTTAGGATCTCTGTGGCAACAGTGAGGCACTAGCTTAAAAAATGTCAAATATATTTTAAAGGCTAAACTTCAGCCTCATATAAAAGCAGCTCAGTGTGTCTGTCTTCAGGGTCGTGGCTACATTTTTTAAATACTGAGGTCAATTACATAGATATCCTCTCGCCAATGAAGGATTAAGTGTTTCCTTTTTATTTCCCAGCATGAAGGTCTGCATGAAAAGCTACTTCAAAGCCAAGGGAATTAGATTCTGCTGGACCAAAAAATACTGAATCAACCACATTTTTTTCTTTGGCTGAGAAGTTCAGATTTGTTCTAATTATCTTATATTTTCATCAGTTTCGTCTCGGATACATTTCCATCCAATCAAAAATATCTGTCAAAAATGAGGCTTAAACAGTGTTTTATGGCTGTATGAACAGCTGGTGGGTTGTGTTTTGATGAAAATAAACTCATCAAATCAATTTTAATTGATTTTATATTTTTACAATGATGCATTGATGTGTTTTTTTTAACACCCTTGGATGGTGCAAAATGAGAACTAGACTCTGCCGGCTTCCCAAGCTGCCACTCAGTTTCAACTCAGTGGGTCTCTGTGAATTTAAGCACAACGTACGCACTGTGTTGTATCTGTTTGTGTCTTTGTGTGTGTGTGTGTGTGTGTGTGTGTGTGTGTGTGTGCACTACACACAGCTGTGTGAAGTCAGCACAGGACAAAAATAACTCCCTGTCCTCTTTAGTCACAGCTCAGTTCCTCTTATCTGCTGTCGCTCGGCTCTCAGCATCACTTGCTTTCCCTTCTCACACACGCGCACACGCACACACACACACACACACACACACACACACACACACACACAGTCAGCCAATCAGAGGTCAGAAAAGGGTCACCTTTGCTTACCTGGTCTCCCGGGTGACGAGGAAGAAGCTATCATCGGGGGCATCGATCCAGTTTGGGCGTCTTTTACGGATCATCACTCCACCTCGGGTGTTTCCACTGCTGCTGCTGCGGCCGTTGTGCTGCAGAGAGACAATTAAATGTTACGTAATGACAATAATCAGTGATTCAGTGGTGCAGGATTTGCTATTACAAAAAAAGTATAAGACACCTACGAGGAGGGGTGCACCTGTTGTACCTGGGTTCTCTGCAAAAACAAAGCCACAGCAGTGAGAGAAAGATGCAAAGTATGCATGAGGGAATCTGTCAGTTGTGAATAGTATTGATTAGTTTGTTACTTTTCCTATTTACAAGTGGTGCAACAAATGACTGTGTTTCAATTTCAGTAAAAATAGTGAAGTTACCAATAAAAAACAAAGTGTCAGACTGAAGTTGAATCATCCAAATTATCCAAATGACCCCCATCTGCTGATTCGTTTTCATTAGAATTAGTTGTCATTCTCTCCAACGAGCTAGTTTAGATAAGAAATGGCAGAAAAGGTTATCAACTCCGGGTGTATCTCCACTAATCTGATTTTATCAAGCAAAAATGATCACAAGAACATTAGATATCAACACTGTTTGGTCCCCAAGGTTCATTCACATCAGAAGTAACTTAGTTAAAAGCAAGAGGGGATGCATTTTCCAATCTTTTTTGGGGGGAACACGTCACGTCTTTTGCTTCTGGGCAGGATTAAGTTAAGCAACAACAGTCTAATTGAAAAACAAGCCATAATTACTTTTGTGGAATTAGTTTTTTTTTTTTTTTTTTTGGTGTTTGTGAAAGAAATGAGTGTCTGTGTGCGTCTACCTGAGCGCCTGTCCGGCTCAGCCCTGCTGTGGTGATGGTAGCTGCGTTTTCCCAGCATGCCATGGGGGCCGTGCGGGAGAGAGGAGAGTAGGCGTCGAGGGGGAGGCGTCTGCAGGCCCGGGGTGCGGTGGGAGCGAGGGGCGTGAGCTGCCGGACGGGACTCTGGAAGAGACACCACACTGGAGCTGCATCAACTGGCTCCCATGGACCAGCAGAGTATTTCTACTCATATTTGATGGATTTGACTGTTTAATACTGTTTCGTTCAGTACAATGGAGTACAAAAAGACTGATTATGATCAAATTTACAGTATTGATTTACCTAGAAACTGGAGGACACTGGTCAGAGTGCTCCTTTGGGCGGCTCTGGTTTTGGGTAGGCGAGTCCCCTGCCCTTCTGACACCCTTAACATGTCTAAATCAAACACACACATATACACACACACACACACACACACACATTTTACAAAACCAGTGCAGTGTTTCTCAGACTGCATAAACTCCCTCTACTCTTTTCTGCCTGACTAAGAATACTAAATACTGTTGAACATTTATGCAGAGTCATGCATTTAAAAAAAACAAAGTCAGTGTGTAAACTGAATTCTGCAGTTTTATAAAGGGGTAACCTGTTTATGATTGGAACAAGGATGTCTTATGTAGATGAAAATGACCTGTTCTCCAATGTGGAGCAACATCACAAGATGCAGGAGTCGATGCACATGAGCAAATCACTCTGAGGTAGTAATATGGTGGCTTGCTTCCAGGGATGGCATGAACACTAAAAACAATAATCTCTCCCACATGCACATAGAATGTTCAGTACATGCCTACATGCACACACAAACAAAAAAAAAGAAAAGAAAAACGTATTGTAAACACACATACATGAAAATATGGAGGCGTTATGAGAGCAGGCACTGAAGGTTGAGTCCATGCTGGGGAGGGGAGGCGTGCCGCTGCGGTTCCTCTGAGTGTGGTGGAGTTGATGGACAGATAACATGGACACATGAAGCACAAGGACTCGGAAGAGATGCTTTCAGGTGTGACTTTATTGGAGGTCTACTCTCACATTCACACAGTGATGAAAGAAAAGAGCAAAAAAAAAGGAGGTAGAAGATGAGATGAGAATATTGCAACAGTTGTTAGAAAATGGAGGACGACAAGGAGGCAAAGTGGAAGGGGGGTTGGGGGGCGGAGGGGGGATGGTGGTGGCTCTGAATGGTAAATCCTGGCCGCAGGATTTACAAGACAGAAGAGGCAACAGGATGGATTCTTATGAATATTGCATGATTTGAACACAGGAGGAACAGCTGAGTGGATGGTATGGCGAGAAACCACAGTCCAGTAAATGGCTTCTTATGGCCTGAGCCTGGTCTACAGAGAGGGTGGGGGGCGGGGGGTGGGGTGAGGGTGGGGGTGCAGCCAGCAGCAAAAAAGCAAGAGCAGCTAGTTATTCCCACACAAGTCAGTCTTAACTTTCAGCTTTAACCTCCCTTCTTTCAAGTTTCATCAGTCCAAAGCTCATTATCAATCCATTCATTTTTGTCTAATACACTCACAAAAACACACGATTAACAGCATGAGGAGAAATGCGTGCGCAAAAAAAAAAGAAAAGAAAAGAAAAGAAATAAAAAAGGAATAAAAATGTTTTAAAATAAAAATGGTGATGGCAAACACAGTGAAGCTGAGATTCAGTATTTACAATAAACATTCGTGGCTGAGACAACTGGTTCAGCCATGACAGCACAGAGTGGGCACGCCTTTACCACGGGCGCCGTGCAAAATAGAGCTTCTCTTAGTAAAATACATTTTCTCTACATCTAACTTCAGCAAATATATGGCTCAGACTAGAATATGACTTCTATTGGAATCCTATGACAGTCTACTTGTTAATGACAGGAGCAAAATCAGTTATTAAGTGTGGATTTTCAAAGTGGGTGTTTGTGTAGAGTAGCCCTGTTGACCAATAAATCTTTGTGTATAATTCCAACAATGGCTTTCAGTTCACAGTGACTAAAGAACTGTAACAGATAAAAGAATGAAAAAAATAAAAAATAAAAACACGAATGAAAAGATGATCAAAACTCATAGTTATGAGGACAGGCAGTCTTTATTGGAAACAGGGGGTGGGAGAATACAAAAACCAAAATAATAATAATAACAATAATAATAAAAACAGAAAGAGAGACAGACGGGGAGGGGGCGGAGGCGGGCAGAGATGGGGTTTGATGGTGGGGCAGTCAGGGTGAGAAGGGGTGGTGAGTGTGTATGTCGGTGTGTTTGTGTTTCTGTATGTCTGCATATGTTGTGTTTCGTGTCTGTAGGTGTGTGTGTGTGTGTGTGTGTGTCCATGTGGCAGAAGTTAGGAGGAATTGAAAGAGCTCTTACACTCTGCCTTTATGGCCCCACAGTTAATGGGGACAAAGGGCCGGCGCGCAGCGCGGCGCAGCCTGATGATGTCACGGCACATGTGCCGGGCCAGCTTGGTGAGGCGGGTGGCCTGCAGCAGGAAAGCTTGCTTGGTCTTCATGGAGGACTTGGGGCTGCCGCTGTTTCGCATGGGCACCATGTGGTTGGACTGGCGAGGAGCGTGACCTCGTGAACGAGACTCCTGGGAAAGAAGGAGGGAGAAACAGAGAAAAATCACTGATGGCAGCTGATAGAAAAACATTTTAGGCAATATTGTTGCTTCTTCACACATGAATATTTAATATCAGATTTGAAACAAAGTTTTCAGTGGCATCAAAAAAGGATATTCTCTGCTCCATTAGTCTGCACGTCACAATGTGTTTTGTTTTTAAAGAGCTCTAATGCCTAAGACACGTGGAAGCTGCACTTTCTATTGAGTTAGTAGTTATTATGTCTCTTTCGTACACAATAATAAGCTCAGCTGCCAGTGAAATGTAGTCAAATAAAAATAAAAGCAATAAATCTTACCTTCATAAAGGTTAATAGAAAGTTCAAGCAATTTCAGCAGAGTGTCAACTTTATGGTCGTTTTGGAGGCTGTAGTTCTATTTAACTGTATTATGTTAAACTGAGAGGTGAATGTGACCCTGTTTATGTCAATGAGAGCAAAAATAAGGTTGAATCAACATGTCCCTAAAACAGCTTCAGCAAGAACAGAACATTATAATCTGTGTGAAGGCAGGATTTATAGCAAAGCCATTAAATATATCTGCATTAAATAAACCGGCATGTGAGTGTACATTGTGGAATGGCAGGAAAAACACAGGTGTAATTAATACCATCAGTAATGGCTGCACTCCATTTGTATTAGCTTACTGCTGATGTGCATTATGGCTCACTGTGATGGTTTGAAAATGGCTCTTCAATTAAAAAGATTAGTCATTTATGTTATTGGTTACAACTGAGCTTCTCCTGTCAAAATGAGAGCTGTGAAAATGCAGCCTGGAATCAGGGTAGTGCATCCTCTGCAAATCAGTCTCTAACAAAGAAAATCTGTGGTTCAAAAATGGACCTTGGTTTATTTATGTCTCATTTCCTTACATATATAATACACCTATACTCTTTTGCATTGCAGCTGCATTAAAATTTCCATATGCGTGATAAAAAATAAAAGGATAAACTCCTGTGTGGCCTTTTCAACACCAGTTATAAAGACATAAAAAGGACAGATCTTGCCTTCAACTGTCTGCTGTGGAAAAAAATCTCTCGGCTGGTCAGTTTTTCTATAACAGATTCCAGCAGTAAAATTGGAAAGTGTGTAAATCTATTAACAGCGAATATGTGAGATAGTGTATGTGAAGCTTTGAGCTCACTGAATAATTGATGTTATCAACTGAAAACATCACTTAAATACCATAGATGTTAAATTCTAGAGAGGAGCTGTTGTGTGGCTTTTGTTTTACGCTTAATTGTAATGTACAGCATCTGACATTTGCAGCTGCCACACCCTGATTCAGACACATTTACCCGTGCTTTCTGACTGAGCTTACGTTGCTTGCTGGACTCGGGGAGGTCCTCTCCTCTGGGCCTTCTGCTCTGCTCGGCATCTTCAGGCCGCCATACTTCTTCCAGTACATCCAGCAGGAAACGCACAGGCGGCACTGCATGTTTGGAGGCCCCCATGAGTACCACTGGGCCGACTGCATGGCTGTTAATGTGCAAAATGCATTAATGCTCGTTATAGGAATTGAAGGAGACAGTCTCAAGACACTCAGCACATTGATCTTTTTTTTCTTTGCTTACTCTGGTTTCTTGCTAAATCATTGTATCAATATCCATAATCAAGGAGTCACAGTGGATGCTTCTTTATTGACTGATAAGCACCTACAGTGTCCTAACAAACATCAAGAAACTGTCTGCCCATATATACGGGGAAGCAGAATAAAAGAGAAAATGAGAGTTAATAGTTGGGCTGTTTTGTATTTTTTTTTTGATTTTGATTCTGCTCAACAATTCTGGTTCTTTTCAAATCCTGATTGATGACATCCACTCTGCTCAGAGCTTGAATGGTTGAAGTTCAGCTTCTAATACAAACATGAGATCTTCAGTTGCTGCTTTAAAATGAAACCTTTCTACTCGCTAACCTTGTGAGGCTTTTATTGTGAAGCAGCTTTATTTCCCTGTAGCTATAGTCAACAAAGCAGCAGACCAGTTTGTGTATTAAAAAGTATCTTTTAACAGAATCCTGGTGGAGCACGTACCATGTGGGCTTAGTCCTAACTGCAGCAGCCATGGGTTCGGGTCCGACCCATGGCCCTTTGCCGCATGTCGTCCCCCCTCTCTCTCCCTGACTTTCCTGTCTATCTCTCACTGTCCTATCAGAATAAAGGCAAAAATGTCCAAAAAAAAAAAAAAAAAAGGTCAGATTTCTTGTTTGCAGCTTTTTAAATGTGAGAACTTGCACTTTATCTGTTTTGTATTGAACATATTTGGGTTTTTGGGCTGTTGGCCGGACAAAACAAGTAATTTGAAGACATCACTTAGTGAAGCTGTGATGGGCATTTTCGTCATTATTTGACAATTTACTATTAAAAAAGTAATCAACAAACTTGTTAGTTGCATCTCAAGTAGCACAATAGCTCCAAACTTTCAGGAATTGAAGGCACATTTCTAAAGCATCCCTGGTTCTTAGAAACCAGTTTTAATTCAGAGAACCATAGAGAGCCAAATGAAGGCAGAGACGCATCACTGGATTAGTAACAGCTGTCTAGATAAATAAGCAGATAAGCAGTGATGGTGAAAATTAAAGGAAAGCGTCTCTTCTAGTCTCTCAGCTTCATTTGTTTCCTTTTTATTTCTAAATTACCCGTGTTCACTGCCCTTGTGATTTAATTTTACACAAACACACACACACACACACACACACACACACACACACACACACAACTCACTATAGCAGCTCTCGCAGGCTCTGCCCCCTCCTGCTGCATGGTAGGACCCGGGGCCTGCTCCATTCACTGTTGCCATTTTGCCATTGGTCATTGAGATCTGGTTGGGGTTGGGTTTGTTACTGTAAGATAAAAGAAAAAAGATTTAAGAAACACACCGACACTAAAGCTGCCTTCTGCAGTGCTTTAAATCTAAACAAATGATCATTTTGTAGCCACAAGTACAGCAACGAAGCCAACCTCTATATCTGAGTATCGAAATGTGAAATGAAGTAACTTACTATGTGGGGATATAAACCTGCTTCAGTTTGCTCTCTGCCTCTGCTGCCTTCAGTCTCTTCTGCTCAGAGAAAAAAACGGATGGAGAGATTCATTAAAACCAAAACAAAATCAACTGTTGGGACAAAAATCTTGATTGTTTCACACCTTTCAAAATCATTGCTAATAGGCAGCCTGGAAATAGGACTGCAGGATCACAAATACAATCATTAAATGTGTCAATGCATTTCTAAAAGGTGTTGTTTCCTTTCTTCCTGATGTGATAATTTGAAACATCTAATTAAATGAAAAGTCACACCTCTGTCAAACCAATGTGTTGGGAAACCAGTTTATGGCAAATTCACAAAATTCACTTCAGTTTATGATCCACAAGATCAGTGTTTTTTTTTCATGGCGAATACTACTACTACTACTACTACTACTACTACTACTACTGAGCCTGTAAATAGCTGTATAATGGGTCACAGATTGGTTTCTAACACACAATACGCTTTGATTGAAAGAATGAATGAATGTACACAGAAACTTTGTTTACAAGAAAATTCCACGGGGCACTTTTAAGCTTTGGAATTAAAGTAGTTTCTTCAGTGTTCATCAAATTAAATTCAAGGCTTTTTTAAATACCACACAGAATTGAATACAATTTAACGCTGGTTTTCATGCTCATACCAATCAAAGGATGTAAGAAAACCAGTAGAGACAATAATCCTACAATAGGCCTCAGATTTCTGCCAGTACTTCCCAGCTGTGTGTAACAATTCCCAGTAATATAATTAATCAATTAGCAGCGCCTGGACATAGATACATGGCAGGAAATTGGTGGGACATTACCAAATTAAAAAATAATTTGTTAATTTAAATTAATTTCAGTTTTTGCTAAAATTGACACTTGGCCATTATCAGGTGATGAGTTTCCTAGCTATGACAGAAGGAGAAAAAAAGTTCTAACTGATGTTACTGTCTACAGTGGGAAGGAAAAATATTCAAGACATTTGTAACTGAAATTCAAGATATTTTAATACCTTCTGAGGGCTTTTGAGGGACCTGAATTCAGTGCTTTTTAAGACTTTTCAAGACCTGCTAATACTTGGTCAAATGTAAAGACTGAAACTCTTCTATCAAAAACTATCAGAGTGTCCACATCACAGGACAAATCCTGAAAGAAATACTTCATTTTATTGTTTTGAAAAGATGTAATAAGTCTCACCTGTTGCACGTATCTGTCTGTGGTCTTCCACATGTAGTAGTACTCTATGATACTGGTCAGAGACTTCCATGGCAGCTTCACAAGAGGAAAGAATGAAGACGGGTGGGTGGGGTGGGTGGGCAGACAGAGAGTAAATTAATGATATTAATATCTCATGTTCTTGCCATCTGGGTGCGAATGTCTTCATGTATATTCATGAGCGAGAGGCATCGTGACCACAGAGGCTGAAAGCTACCAGCTTTGCTTGATTCTGAGCCTCAGATGACAACACACACTCTCACACAGACACAGACAGTGATTCACACATTTAATAAGTATTCATGAGCACCTGGTGCCACCGCATACACCCATATCCCGCCTTTATTGTACAGAATAGGTAGATGGCGAGAGGGAAAATTCAGCAGAATCAAATAGGCACTCCCTGTAGGCTTGAGAGGGTGGCTGTTAAAATTGGTAATTTCTTCCTTCACAGAGCAGCGTCTGTGGTGAGTTTAAATTCATCTCAATTACAACAGATTCCCATTGTGACACGTTTTCACAGCGGGACAGAGAAGTATCAAGTCCACAGAAAGTTAACTCAAATCACTCCTGCAGCATAATCGAACGTCCCCACTGCATGACAAACAGCATGCTAAGTAAGCTTCAAAAAGTCGCGTATTTCACCAAAATACATCTAAACACACAGCTACTGTTTGTAGTTTTCACAGCGCCGTGGTCTATTATGATTGGCTCGTGTTTATCATAAACAGCACACCATGTAAGAAACATGAAACATCCAACAGACCCTCTAGAGCCCAGGTTGACTTTGTCATATGTTTTTCTTTGTTTAGCATCTTTTAAACTGTCCTCACCCCACATACATGGGATACATATAGAAAAGTTGTAGCTTGCCAATAGCAGTTGCCATAAGCAAGCAAGGTCGAGGGACTGAACAGTCATAATATTTGTACCCTTGGGAAGGACATAGGACATAGGTATCGCATGCTATGGTCCCATGAAGAATATACTTATTTGGACATGTAGTAAGTTTTGTATGAGTGTTGTATGGGTTTGAATACGCCCTTCAGAATTTGGTGGCATTGCAGAGTGATAACTGGTATTACTCATCTCTCCTGAAACTTCTTCCATCATGGGTTAACCAGCATTTCCATAACAAAACTATAATACAGTCCATTTACAAGTTAAGTGATCATATTCCAACTAATTTTTGTGCCTCGTCATTGAAAGTCACTGAAAATATCAATAATTCAGTTTGAAATGTTTTTGGGCTCCAGACATTAATCAAATTCTGTGTGAAATCCTAACATTTCAACTGGTTTTCTATGTTTGTCTCTCCATGATATGCATGATAAAGTAATGCTACTGTAAATTAAACATGTTTGGGTTTTTCACTGTTTAACAGTCAGACTCCAGAGGGTGACAGCCACTTTTCAAGCCCATAGAGGGTCAATACTTTATGCTTAAACAACAGACTTTGAACAAGCAAAAGATACTGAATTTTCTCTAATTTTCTCATGATGATAAACAAAGGAATTCTTAATCAGTCAGTCAATTTTGGAGTCCAGGGGGAAAAGTTTAGCCACATCTAGGGCTGACTGAACCGTATAGCTTGATTTGTATATAATACACACCTATTAATTTGCAATTAGAATCACGGTTGACATCAATTCAAAACATAATATTAAAATACTGAAATTTATGACGTAAACCAAAGGTTTCCCTATCAGACATTATGTTTATTCAATCACTTTGGCACCCCAATGGCAATTAACAGATGACTGACACCCCACAAATTCCAGCTGTTATGGCTTTATAAAAGCCAGAGTGAGAGCACAGTTATAAACACACACTTACAAAGTCTTGTCGGATGTCGTTGAAGTCTTTTCCGTATTTCTCTAGTGCCTCTTCGAACATAGCGGCTTCTGAGGCGCTCCACTCTTCCATCTCATCCCTGCAGAGCACTGGACCGCCCGCTGGGACCAGTACACTCAGCGCACTGGACAGGTCGTAATTATGGCGATGCAGTGTGTCCATCGCATGGAACTGCAGCCAAGGGACACAATCCATCATTTAAATCACAGTCGGGTAATGATCCGTGTGTGTGTGTGTGTGTGGCCAACTCACCAGTGTGATATCTCGTGAGGCTGCAGCCGCACTCATGTGTAAGCTTGGTTGTCTGACTGAGCTGCTGCAGTCCAACGCTCGAGCAAAGGTCCCAACCGCCCTAAAAAAAAAAGGATGTAAACCACTAAAAGTAAAGAGCCCTCCTTATGGTATGAGCCACCCCTCAAACAACAATAATGTGCCTTTATTATTTTTATTATTTTTTTTATTATTTTTGCCCTCACACTTTTGCATTATCATACACAAACAGAGGAAAGTAATGGAGTTGAATATCATATCCTTCCCAGCAGGAAGGGTCATAAAGTGTCTTTACTAAGAATGGTTCCTGGAGGAATCAGGGTTCATCACAAGCCGCTATCTGAAACTTTCTGTTTGGTCGGTTTGAGCGGTAGGCTGTCCGAGTAGATGTCTGAGGTGAAGAGTGATTTACCGTGCCACCACTAGGAATTGGTCTATCTGTTTGTTGGTGAGTGGACACTCTGGATCCCACAGCTTCTCTTCTAGCTTCGACTGGTCCCTGTCATCTGCCTCACCTGCAGGACACAGAGACGACAGCTTCACCACAGGCTGAAGGTGAAGAAATCGATTTATAATCCCCGGTTGTTTGCTACAAGTCAACTTCATGATTACAAATCCCATGAAATTGCCTGGAAATTGTCCACTTACTGCTGAGAAATCACACATTTCACGATTGATTGTTTTAGAGCAGTCCTTTTACCAGATCGAAGTTTAATCTGCTATGGATTTATTCATCTCAATGTACATGTTAATCTCCACTCAGATGGTGATTAGCTCCATCTTCTCTTAGGGTTTCTTTTTAAATAAATACATAAACATATGTCTAGTTCTTAGACTGTCACCTCTACAGCCTCTAAGAAATGTCAAAACACCCAGAAAATCTCAAATGAAAATTGTGGATGCAGATATTCTACAACTTTTGTTTACATTAGGACAAGAAAAAATCCATTTCCTTGCTCAAGTTGTGAGGTGGTCAAGTCAACTGGATGATGGAAGATTTACAGAAACTTTCCAGCTGCATGTGTGAGAGAGGCTCAGAGTCAAGGACAACATCATACATTGATCATGTCAAACCTGGATACTTAACACTTACTTGACCTATTAGTTAACTCATCACTTAAGCTTCAACCAGCCAAAAAAAAAAAAGTATTTCCTCCATGGTTTCCTTTCCCTGCTGTAACCCTTTGTGGATAATGTGGCTTAAGAAGGAAAAACAAGCTTCGACACAGATGTAAATAACAAAACCCGTGGGCGTTATTTGACAAATCAAATGCTGAGTGAATCAGCTCGTGTGCAGTTCTGACTGACCTTCTTGTAGCATTTCAGGTACGTCTGCTTGAAAGCGCGGCCCCACTCTGATCTCTCCTTTGTCGGCCAGCAGGGTCTTCTGTGTCGGGTCATACACCAGCGAGTAGAAGAAGGTATCCTGAAGAAAACAACACGCCAATTACTAAGATGAAGAACCCGCCTCCATATTTTAAGCAGCAGGGTTTTTACACTCACTCTAATGTCAAACTCATCTTCTGTTTTATACATTTGAATCTGAACCTTGAATCTATTTGGAATTCTGCTAGTAAACCTGTAATCCGCAGCTGTTGTATAACAGAACAACCCTTACTGTGAGGCAAAGAGACAAACAAGAAGTCTTAGCAAGAACTGAGGATAACAGCTGCAACCACAAAATTTGACTTTTCTACAGCTGAAACAAACAGTTGATTTATATATAAAATTATAGGCTACTATTTTGATTACTTAAGCAAAAATTCCTAATAGTCTCCAGTTCCTGCTTCTCAAACACACAGATTTGCTGCTTTCTTTGGTCTTATGTCATAATATACTTAAAAGTATTATCCTTGAGGTGTTGTTTGGACAACACGGTTTATCTGACAACATAATGTGCATATTTTTAATTTTTTTCTGAAATTATATGGACTAAATAATAAATCAAGAAATGAATTGTCTGATTAATCAACATTGAAAGTAAGTCATGGTTAGTTCTAGCACCTGAATATCTCAGTTTTTGACATCTGAAAAAGCATTTAAAATATGACCAGACTGTAGTAAACAACCAACAACAAACAGCAGTAGGAGATGACAAATCAAGTTTTATTTTTCCCTCTGGCTCACCTCTTTGTCAAGGTATGAAAGAACGGCTTCAGTCTCATTCAATAATGCCACACTGCACTTCCCCCTAATAGAGAAAGAGAAAGAGGACAAGCACCATGTAAAACACAGACGCAGGAAGTGAGCAGTATGCGTGTTCAAGGCTGGATGAGTGACTATCCATGAGCACTGCCTGCAGTTGATGAGCTGTGTGTGTGAGAGTGTGTGTGTGTGTGTGTGTACCTGATGTGTGTCGCAGGTAGACTTTCATATTGCCGGGAGAGGAAGAGCTCTCTGTGGCGAAGCTGGTGTTTCTGTTTTTCTGTTAGTTCTGTCTCTGTCGGGCTCTCCTTCTCCTCTTCCAACTCCTCTGCAAATGCACACACAGCGGAAAATAACTTTAAAATGACGGATTAAAAGACACCCTGATGTTATTAAATGGTCACCGTGTGTCACAGAAGGCTCAGTGAAGAAACATGGCACAAGAAATATGACAGGCTTAAATACTGACCAACAGATTAGAGTCACAAATGGTCTCTAATATTTCAACTGTGCTGTCTTCAGATATACAAGAGTAAAAAGTCTCCAGAGGACTTTGCAATCACAAACTACTGCTGCCATCTATTAAAGACACCCAGGCCATTTTGTGCAGGACTAATACTAGGAATGTAATTTTAACAACAGTGCTCATATAAATACTGCATTAGCTGAGTCTGAGTCAGCACATAATGCCAGGCAGCAGATGAGCATCTTAACTGTAACACAGTGGCATACAGATAATTAAAGATTATCTTCCATTGGAAACGTATCTATGCTTGCACCAGTTGTTTTCATAAAAGGTAGAACTGGCACTTTAACAACTTTACATTCCTGTTACAAAATGTCCTACAGACACCAACATTCCCCATTTCCACTGTTCTGATATTTCACGCTCCACGTTGCCAGTATGCTTCATGGTCATGCTGCATGGTCGAACAGCGTTGGAAACTTTCCCTCCGGGACTGGGCCAATCCAACATTCACACCCACTGCATGCTGCAATTGGCAAGCTGGGCAAAGGTGAGAAATTAGCCAGGGTTTCAACTTCTCCAGCTCTCTTTTTTTTTTTCATATTGGAAAAAACTATGTCCCTTTTCATGTGAACAACCAAGTCTCTGCCCTTTCTATGACAGCCGGCCTCAGACCAGGGGATAACTGAGGTGAACCCTAAAGACTTGAGATTAACTAGTTAATAGAAAGACGAGACACGATGAATTGTGCAGATGGGGGACAACTTTGCACCCTTTTGGACAGTCTTTCCTCGAATGGATTCATGCTGTTGCCATCGTTTCGACACACAGAAGTAACAGTAGTAAAAAAAGAGAGCATGAGAGAGAAGTTTAAACCCTGTTTACAGTAGTTACCATCCTCTGAACCCAGGGCCAATCCTAGCGTGAAGTAACTCCAACATTGAATAAGTGTGAGAGTAGGGGTTTCAGACGCTGTACGACCACCCGTCAAGCACACTGACCCCTTGACAGACCACTGAACACACCAGTGTCTCTGGCTGAGTCACCATTTTTCAAACATGCGGCTGCTCGATGTTCAGATTCTTTTTAGAGTAAAATAGTCTCTAATTTGGAGTTCCATTTCTACATTACATTGCTGTTCTTACTTTCATCCAACAGATAACAGCCTGCTCTGATCTCCTTTGATACAACAGAGCTGTAATTGCTGTGTAAAGACAAATGCTAATGCAGTTTCATATTGAAAAGATTTCCGCTGGCAAACCACTAGAAGGCAACTGTAATAAGTCCTATCTCTTTTTTGTCCCTGGCACTGGTTGCTAATTCATGGGTCTTCGCAGCAAGATTATGGACATATTTCAGAATTCTGTCAGTGGATGAGTAAATGTATTCATTCATATGTTGCAAGGTAGGAAAGGTAAAACACGAAGCAGTCACAGGCTCTGTTCAAATATATTTTGAGGATGCTTTCAGTGTTACAAACATAATTCTATTCAACTGTATAGTGTTGGGGAGGCAGCAACAGATACCTTCAAATCTCATGAAGTAAAAACAAAACTATCTGCATGGTTTGACACCAGTAAGAGCAGGTGGGAAAACATGTTTTTTTTCGGATTTGGCTGAACTGACCACTCTCCTGTAGAGCCAACGTTTGGCTCACGGCTGTTGTTTGATCTCGGGCTGCAAAAATTAATCAGCATGGAAGACAAAACACATGCAAATTTTGCTGACATGGCTCCAGAATGACTCCACTGAGAGCACTAGTTCTCCCTTCTGAAATTTCTACCCTAATGTCAAAATAAACAGCAACACAGCAGAAAAACCTTTCCGATTTCAACCAAGATCAGTGCCTTGGTAACACGTACAGATGTTTCAGTCTTGGCTCCACTCTGCACACTCAGTTTTATTTCTGTAAATCAAATTCACTAGATGACTGTGTTTTTCCCATGAACTAGTCTAGGCCATAAATTGTGTGAATTCTTTCTTTTTTTTCTTTTTCTTTTTTTTTACAGTATTGTAAGCACTGCTAAATTTTATTGTTGTTGCTGCCTCTTCTGCTGACCAGCTGGTACACGACAGACTCCAAATAGATGGTTGAATTGGCACTGTGCAGCGATCAATGCATATGTCCCTGCATACTGTATGGTTTATATTTTTGCGCTTAAGGTTGCTTCCTGTTTACAGAGTCTACCTAAATGAACAAAACTGGTTTTACACAAACAGTTTGACCACACACACAGCGAGAACCATATTCAGCCACACAATATATTCCTGTCTTTCCTGTCTCAGTCATGAGAACATTACAAACCAGTCTTCACTGGGTCTCCTGCTGCTGATTCCTCATCCTAATCATTCTACTTGTGAAAATTGTGAGATTGTTTTGGCACAGGAGAGTTTCTTTACCTTCAGAGCAACCAATAATTTGTTTTATTGGGACCAAAGGGCCAAGTGAAACATCACTGGAAGCAGGTAGACGGCTTCCCACCAGAACTTCTGTTGATGTGGTAACAACACCTTCCTTTCCTTCCATCTTCATACAGCCATACTCATACGCCAATTCTCCCCCTCTCGGTAATAAGCAATTGAGAAATTAATGTGATGTATAAATATGAACAGCGGTACATTATCAAGTCACACTGGAGAACCTATTTATGTTCCAGTGGCACCATCTCCAGAAATGCTCTGATGAAATGGTTGCACTCTGGAGCCGTGGTCGTCATGAAGGGAAAAAAATATCTTATTGATAGTAAATGTTATATTGTGCAAAGGAAATGCGGCGGGGTAGCGCTGCTGGAAATGTCTGCCTGACTGACATGCAGCAGAAAGCCCATGATGACATTTTTCTCTCAAAGTGACTGGCTGACGATACAACCATGGCAGAAAACAGCAGCTTTCGGCTTCAGACTGGACTGAAATGTCATTAATGAGTAAATAACAGCTCAACTATTTTACTGATTCTCACATCTCAAATGTAAGGAGTTGCATCTTTTTTCATATTGGTGTAAATATATCTGAGTAGAGCTGCAATGATCTGCTGATAATTTTCTTGAGTACTCTGTTCTACTGTTCAAGAGAAAAACTATTAGAGAGAAAATAATGTGCCAATTATCAGCAGAACAATATCTGCATAGTATTTTTTCAAATCATTGAAATATCTATAAAGTAAAAACTAAAATAAAAACAAACAAAATAAACACCATCATTACTTCCTCCCAGAGCCCATGGTGACATATTGTCTGATCAACAGTCCATAATCCAAAAATATTCACTTTACAATGACGTGAAACGGAGAAGAGGAGCAAATCATCACATTTGTGAAGATGGAACCAGCAAAACTTTGGTGGCTTAAAAGTAATCCTTTGCCAATTACTTTTCTGTTATTGGACTAATCAGTGAATCCACTTATCATTTCAGCTCCACATTTGAGTTTATTCTAGTTAACTTTTGTCTTTTATAACACTTGACTACCTGAATGAGACTGTAACTGTCACATGGAACAAAAAGTCTGAATGTGGGATGACTCACTTGCATGTTTGTCTGCGAGCTGGATGAGGCTGTGGGAGATGTCTCTCCTTCTGTAGAAACAAACCACCTTGGCCTCCACGTTCCCACTGGCCGTCTGAAACGGAGAGAGGAGAGAGATCCAGGTTGGCTGAAATAGGTGGCAACACCTCCCTGTACAAACCTCTAATTTCCCAAGAGACCTGGCTAATTTGCGAGCCCGCCAAGCGTTGCTGCTATGACAGGCTGACCAGGGCAGCAACAGCACTTATGATCAGATGATTGATTGATTGTCTCACTGTATAATTAGGATGACAGGCTTAAAGACTCAGCCAGTATTAAATGGCGTGACTGATGGAGACTGAATGAATGTGGGGGTACGAGGTTTGAGAAAACTGCTTACAACTTCTGCTGCTTATGGGAGGTTGTACATACAGTAAGAGCAGATGAATGTTATGACAGTGTTCACCCGAAAGGATGTGGTGGGAAAAAAAACAGGAACAATGTAAAGAATTACAATTTAATGCCACCACAAGCTACAGTCCATAACATTCAACCACTCTCTTTCAGCCTCAACAAAATGTGAACATTACAAGGCAGTATATGCTGTACTGATACTGGAGGAAGTTCCATTTCACCCACCACCTTTATCACTTATGATAATTACAACGTCCCCTGTCTATATATTACAATGTACAGCCTCGATATGTTTTTTCAGGCTGACACTGACTTGATCTGACATTTTCCCACCCACACTACCTTGGGATGGCATGGATTTATCTGAGCAACTCTGTGCAAATGTAACACAGGAAAGGCTTTTCTGACACGTCTGTAAAAGATGCTCGTGTGGTATTTAAACAGTGTATGTTAGTTTTGGCTTGTTATTAACTAACATTAGTGACAAACCTCTATGAAATAAGTTAAAACAGGCAACTCCATAACTTGGCAAAACAAATATCAGACTAAGTTGCCTTTCACAGCCAGTATCAGCTGATACTCAGTCTGGCAATATATTTTGCATCTTTAGTCCAAGGCTTTCTGAGCTCCTGAAATGTTTGTTACAATAATCACCCCCGCCTACACATAGCACACTCCTACAGGTGTGTCCTGCAATACAAACGACATTTATCAGAGTGGGGAACACCCCTCTCTTTTAATCACATTACAAACACTTTTAGTTACAAAATGAGAACACACACATACACCATTGCAAATACAGGGGGTGGACGCAAGAACAGAAAGGAATCTTGTTATTCACCCTGAGGCATAAAGAAGCATAATCACACAAGAAATGACACACAAACACTTCAGTACCTTGTTGAGCTCCTCTATCCGGCGGATCAGGTAAGGGTTACTGGAGGAGTTCTCAAAAAATACGTAATCTGGAAAAAAAAGGAAAAAAAAAGAAAAGAAAAAAACCACAGAGATTACTTCACTGTATCAGATAACTGTGAGGCTAAATAATCGTGTAGGCTCAGATGAAAACAACATATGTAAATGCCAAACTAGAAACATGTGTATCTATGTAAATGTGTACAATATCATGATCAGATCCGCAGATCACTATTAAAACTGTGATTTTAACATGCTGACGCCACCGAGAATATCAAACTCCAAGTCAAACAAAGGTCATCAAAAAGGTAAATGTGTGTGTGCTGCAAGGTTTCTACAGCCTGAGAAAGTTGCCATACTTTCATGATTTTTGTAAGATAAATAAATTACTGGTTAGGAACACAGCAAAGTCATAACAGTTGACTTCCCACTGCTCTTCAACAGAAGCTACGTAAACATGACTTCACCTAGCCAGAGGAGACAGAAATCCAGCCTGGTTCAATTGCACTTGGGCAGAATATAAGGTAACTTTGGAAAACTTAAGGCCATGAAATGTTGCCTTCAAGTGTTGCCAGAAATCAGAGTTGCCAAAGTGTGACTCTCAGTTGCATTCAGTGCATATAAATATTACCATTATCCGCCTCTGGAGCCAGAGTATGTTAATCAGCCATAGTTGTAAATATGATGAATTACAGCCCTGACAGGTATATTCTCTGTCTTTAATTTTTACCTGTGTAGCAGTAACAGGGCTAGAGCTGGAACAATTAGTCACTTACCAGATAACAAAAATATAATTGGCAACTATTTTGATAATCATCAAGTCTAATTCCAACCTGGCAAATTAGAGGATTTCCTGCTTTTCTTTGCCATATCTCACTGTAAACTAAATATTTTTAGACATATGGACATTAGGTTGAGCAAATTAAGACATTTAAAAATGTTGCATTTGGTTCTGTGAAGTTGTGATGGGAATTTTTTCATTTAACAGACTAAACAATCAATTTAAGAAAGAATCAACAGAATAATCAATAAGAAAATAGACTCTTTAGTTAAAGTCCAACACAGGACTAGCTTTTTTTAATCAAAGAGGCAACATTTAAAAAAAAAAAATCCATGTTCAATCACAGATTTATTTTTACTTTTGAACAGAAAAAAACTTCAATGCTCCAAGAAGTTAAAGTTTGAGAAGTTGGAGTTTACAGAGAGCACCTGAAGGCAGCAGCAGCACTGCACTAAAGGTGAGTATATGGGGAACTAGCTGATGCACTGAAACAAAATTGATTCACCGGTGATAAAGTGTTGTCAATAACATCACCTGGGCCAAGATGCTTATTGTTTGTGTGACATGTCAAGCATCGATACCATTTAAGCTAATTCACTGACTTAATATAGATCTGAAGCTCAAGTATGCGTGAATAAAAGGTGTTAGGTTTAATCCTCCCGACGAAACGACGCCATGAAACGAGACAATAATTTGATGTTGAATTCCATTAGACTGCTAAAAAGCTAGCTAGCCACTGAAGCCAATTTGCTAATTAATTTCACTTGTGGTGAATCTAGATGGACAGTGGAGCAATAACAGTCATGTAATGTTACCATGATGGTCAGATGCTTTGCTAAAATTGTGTAAAACGAGAGCTTCAGCCGCAATTATGGTAATCAGTGAAGCCATTGCTGGTGCTAACGTTAGCTAAATAAGGACTCGTACTAATGGCTGCATGCCAGAAGAGGCAAATACAAAGGCAGCCTCAGACTATCCGGGGTAACGTTTTAACAACCTTTTAAACACATGTCTATTCGAGAAGTCCCACTGTGCGTCAGTTTCCATTATCCCCGGTCTAAATATGCGAAAACCTAAGCGCAACGAAGGTGCCGACAACTGAAAAATGTTTACATTGTGAGCTAGCCATTTAGCAAGCTGGCGGCTAGCTGCTGTGGCCACGACAGACGCGAGGCCTGACCCATTTTGGATCCCAAATATTTAGAAATTCTCACCTTTCTGCTCCAACTTAATGCATCTCTGTTACTGTAACACAGCCGTACCTCACCATTAACTACAAACGAACTCAAAAAAACGCCACATTATCCCCGGGGAATGCAAAACTGGAAGGGTTTCTGTTTGATAAAAAGATCCACATTGACATACATACCTCCGACCCGGTACATGTTGGCCGCCATTTCTGCCCTCCCGGAGTGTTAACGTAAACCATAAACTAAGAGAAATAGAATAAATTAATAAAAAAAACAATAAAACTCAATCTCTTAAAAGGTAAAAAGGTGCGATAAATTATGATCGTCGAGACTCCGGATGTGCACCCAATTGGGAGATTTTTGTCAATTCAACCCCCCCTCCCCTCCTGATACGATTCACAGTACCCTTTACAATACAGTGAACTCACGGCAGCCAAAAGAAGTCGGATCAACCAGAAAAACCACTGCCTGCTGACGTTGGGAGGGGCGCACGCGCAGACCGACACACACACACACACACACACACACACACACACACACACACACACACACACACACACACACACACAAACACGTACTCAAGTAAGTGACCATAAACACTTTTAAATGAAATTCCCATATAAGCGGTAAACTTAATAATAATACAGAAATATGACTCATACCATAATCTTTATATAAGCTAGCTCATAGTAATTTAAATTTATCAATTATAATTCAAGTCCTGGCTATAAAATAACATTGAGTAGCCTACAATAGAACAACTATGGAAAACTATAGTTTTCGTGCATGAGTTTTTCTCTTGGTGTTCGTGCGTCCGTGCATGCGCGCGCATGTGACATCACTGATGGGATTGGCTTGCCCTGACTGGGGTGGAGAGTCTCTTCCACCGGCTGCAGAGGGAGAAAGAGAAGAGAGTGAGGGACAGAGGGAATAGTTTCCAGCAGCCACGGAGCTGAACGCAGGGCCACCTCCACTCAGAGCGAACCACGCCCCGGGGGACAGGGGAGACCGTGACCCCCCACTCCCCCTAAAAGTGCCCAAAGTGCGGTTATGGAAGGGGGAATGGACTGTGAAGAGGAGTTTTAGTCAGGTTACACATTGACGACATGAAGTTTGGGAAGAGCATCTGCGTGCTCAACGTAGGGGGAACCCGGTACGCCTTCACCCGTGAGGTGATCAGGGATTTCCCTCTCCGGCGCGTCAGTCGCCTGCATGCCTGCGCAACCGAGAAAGAAGTCCTTGAACTGTGCGACGACTACGACCGGGACCGGAATGAGTTTTTCTTCGACCGCCACGCGCAGGCTTTCGTGTTCATCATGCTGTACGTGCGCTCCGGTAAACTCCGCTTTGTCCCCGGAGTGTGTGAGCTCTCCTTCTACACAGAGATGCTCTACTGGGGGCTGGAGAGCGCGCACTTGGACTCCTGCTGCCAGAAACGTCTGGATGACAGGATGTCCGAGATCGGACTTGACAGTATGTCTGAGGGGGACATCAGAGTGTCGGGGGATGAGTCTCAGAGCCCGGGCGAGTCGGTGCAGCGGATTGCGCTCACTGGTCGCGCTAGATGGCTTGAGAAGATGCGCAAGGCATTCGAGGAGCCCAACTCTTCGCTTGCGGCGCAGCTGTTGGCTTCAGTGTCCGTGATCTTTGTAATCGTTTCTATGATAATGCTGTGTGCTAGCACCCTGCCGGACTGGGATACAGCCAAGAGAAATACTGTGGAGGAGCACAGGTAGGTTATAGCCAAAGGTCAGTTAAGTTGAGTGGAATAGAAGGGGCCCAGGTATGAGGATGCTGCTAAACGTTCAGGCGCAATGTATGCTATTATCATACAAGTGAGCTCCTGCCATGATAAACACTTTATGAATCAATAAATACATTCATAACCACTTGAGAATCTCATGCCCGCGCCTGCATTCATTAAGGCAGCGCTCAAACCCATTGCGCACTATTCATTTAGTACCCAGAATGTTGATGCATGGAGACATTTGTCATATTCCGGCTTAAAATAATTTTTAAAAGTTTGCAGTTTCTTTGAAGCAATATATTAAAAACCTGATAGAAAACACATTATGTAGGTACAGGAAATCTGTCCTTGTGTTTAGTGAATTGACGCCCCTTAGGTCAATACAGCATGATGACAAGTTTCAGGCAGCACATTAAACATTGGGCTCCTCACATGTCAGACAAGTGGCAAGGAAGCCAATCAATAACCAATCCATATTATCTACAAAAAGTGTAGTGTTAATTATTACACAGAATCCCTTCCTTGCTCTTGTCTTCCTCTAGAGTCTCTCCCCTACTCCTCTTCACAATTACTTTGAGTATCTTTATTGGCTTGGTTTTTAGTTTACATTGCACAGTACACAAGGAGGACAAACATATCAGATAAACGCCAGTTTCATAATATTCCAGTAGGTAATGAGTTGAACATAGAAGGTGTGCTGAGGGATTATATATTAGGGTAAACAAACAGAAATGAATTGGGCCACTTACAGGAATCACCTTCTGTCTAAGTCAGCAGTTATTCCTGGCTCCAGTTTTTTGGACACAAGGTGAAAAAGTGCCCCCCTGTTTCCACATTGTTTTGGCCACAGGCTGTCCTCTCTGGGAAGCCTGAGTGAGGCGGCCCCTCTCTATATAAGGCTAGGCTATGTTCACTCAGGCTGGACACAGTTTTGAGTTTTGGATAGGTTACAGTGGTTAGATAATCAACTAAAAGTGTAGTTTATACTCGGGGTCAAAAGGATTCCAATTTAGTTTCATGCCACTAGATGATGACATTCTCTCAGTTGCTCTGTAATTTGGTTTGGTCTAATTGTGCTGATGTGGTTATCCTAAGGCTCTGTGGTATTTGCTTGGCCTGGCTGCTTCTATGTCAAATACAAGCACCACCTCACTCTAATTCAGTTTGATTCCCTTTGCTGTGCTAATCAATGGTGTGTCACAATCTTTGTAGGGTTTGAATCCCCCCCTCTGTGCAGTTTCCTGGCAATTTCCTCATCATCTGTCCTCACTGTGTATCTGTCCTTTTGTTTACTTGCGTCATTCCTGAATAACATCAGATTTCTTCCCCATTTCCCATCATTTATATCACCCCTGCTTTGCTTCCTTCTTCCTCACATTTATTCATCGTCAAGCAGTATCTCATTTCATCCATATCTCACTGTAGCTCCTCTGCTGTTTCCTGTTTACAGTCTGTTCCACTCATTTTTCTCCTTTCTTCTCTCCTCTGTAGGATTGTAGAGGCAGTGTGTATTGGTTGGTTTACAGCAGAGTGCATAGTGCGCTTTCTGGTGGCCAGAGACAAGTGGGACTTCCTCCGCCGGCCACTGAACATCATCGATGTGATTGCCATCACCCCCTACTATGTCACCATGGCAATGGCCCGTGCAGGGATGCCGAGCGCTGGGCTCGGGGTTGCTGGGGTGATACTGCGGGTGCTGAGGATGATGCGAGTGTTCTGGCTCATGAAGCTGGCCAGACACTTCCTGGGCCTGCAGACACTTGGGCTGACACTCACGCGCTGCTACCGGGAGATGGTCATGCTGATGGTGTTTGTCTGCGTCGCCATGGCGATATACAGCGCTCTGGCCCAGCTTCTGGAGCATGGCTTGGACTTGGGCACGCAGAACCACGATTACGCCAGCATCCCGGCGGCCGCCTGGTGGGTCATCATCTCCATGACGACGGTGGGGTACGGGGACGTGTACCCTGTGACAGTTGGAGGACGGGTGCTCGGGGGAATGTGTGTAGTGAGTGGCATTGTCCTCCTGGCACTGCCCATCACATTCATCTACCATAGCTTTGTGCAGTGCTACCATGAACTCAAACTCCGCTCTGCCAGATATGCACGCAGCCTGTCAGCGGAGATACTGCGATAAACACACATTCTCATCAAACATCCATGGCCCTGCCTACACCAGACAGAAACTCAAAAAAACAGTGAATCTGCTGATCCCATAGTGATATAATTGATCAGCACTGTGCCCTGCCCTCTTTCCTGCCTGAGCCACACCTGATTTTATTTGGCTTGTCTAGTTCCTGCTTGTTGTGTTGATGATCTCCAGTGATCATCTTCAACCAGCATGCTCTGCACCTGTCTCCTTAACAACACAGTTTGCACAGAAGAATAGGAACACACACAAATAATTATTTATTAAACACACACGGGCACATTCAATCCAGTTTTGACACTGGCTGCTGTTTACACTGTATTCCCATGGTGACAACATTGGCAGAGATGGCTGCTTTTTTTTGTACGCTGCTAGTGCTGTGTGTGTGTGTGTGTGTGTGTGTGTGTGTGTGTGTGTGTGTGTGTGTGTGTGTGTGTGTGTGTGTGTGTGTTTGTCTTGCCATCAGCCTTTCACTTTGTCTAAGCCTTGCACCCAGATGGTACAAATTACACAAGATTGATGTGTGACCTAGATGCATTCTGTTAAACCTGGAGAATATAGTGAAGGAGTGAACAAGTGAGTGGGGATGGAGAAGGGGTGTACAGGGGGCTTAGTGTGTAGGAGTGGCTTAAGCCAGGGATAATGAAATATGGAGACAGGTCAGCAAGGACTAATAAGGTGGCAGACAAATACTGAGGTGTCAGATATGACAGGCCAGATTGAGTGTGAAATGCAGCATAAAAGATTATGGGACAAAAATGACAGGAATGACAGAATGTGGAGCAAGCCTGAGCGTCAAGAATGAATAGCTGGAGTGTGTGCGTATTGCTTCTCCATTGTGAGCGAATGTAAGGCATTTTGTATTTCTGTGTCTCCAAGGCAACCTCATCCTCCAACATGTCAATCATGATGGCGGTTGATTTGTCTCTGCACACAAGCAGGCCACATCCATGCACCCCTTCTGGCTTGGCATGTAGCATTTTTTGTCCTGCGATTGTGGGGAATTAAATATCACAAATTCCTAAAAAAAAACAAAAAAAAAACACACACACAAAGGAGAGCAGAGGCTGCCACAGATGATGGTTCTGACATTCATGATTCAGACATGTTTGCACTGTCCATGCGTTCGCAAAGATGATATGATTTGTTGAGGAGACACATGATCCAAACAGACAAGTCGACACTTCTCCCACTCAACAGTCTTTCTCTGCATCTCCTCTCCTCTTCCTCCTGTTGCCATCAAACGTCCTCTCTTTACGCACACACACATGCACACAGACATATCAAAATCCTGCTCTTTTGTTGCAAAGGAAATTAAACAATTAATGAGTCTGAGTCTATTCATTATCTGTCTGTCCTTAAATTTAAAGTCTACATTTGTTATTTCCTCATAGACTTTGCTGCCTTGTATGAGTTTTGAATGTATTGTAAACAGTACATATCTCAATATCCTGCTCGTTGTGTTATTAATGTGCTTTTTTTAATCAATATTTTATTACCTAGCTTGCGACACATAATTTTCAACTCATGTGGCATAGCTTATAGCCCAGTAAATTTTGGCCTGGCCTCATTGAAACCATCAATCAAAACTTTTTCAGCAGTAGACTTGTAATTAACGTGATCAATGTATGAGGTTTTATAATAAAACGACTCTGACTGTGCGAAACATCTGTGAATGTGTAATTGCTTATTACAAATCAAACTATAAAAATGTAAGTGTTATCAGACTCCGTCAACTGCTTTCACACAGATGTAATATTGATCTGGGGGGTTTTCACATCATCTATTCCAAACCCAAAATAACCTTGTTAATTAACTAAACTAATTAATTACACAGTATGACCCAAAGATGTGTTCAATGCACAAGGCATTTTGGGCAGATAATCCTTCAAAAGTTTTGAGGTGATGACATACAGTTTAAACACCTGGGCCTCCTGTGGGCAGTGGAACATAACATCCAGCATGAGGGACACCTGAGCCCGTCAGCAAGGGCACTCAGTGCACTCACCAGAGTGGGTACAGTGGGGCGAGCATTGTGCCACAGTCTAGTTCACAAAGTACCGCTATGGGCATAAATCGACTCTAAATCCCAAGCTGCCGCTGTACTGCACATAAGGTTCAAACTCTTTAAGTGTGTTCGATAGACTGTGTCAATGAGCTCATTCAGTGTTACCTCTAACTAGACTTTGCAATTCCTGGAGAAAATGAGGTGGGTTTGCTGGCTTCTGGAAAGGCTGATGCTAAACTACGTTTTTGGTTGGTAAAAAAAAATTATTTCTTTGTCACCATATTATATATCCTCACAAGCCATAATTTATTTTGGTTTACAATGTGGAAATCTATTTAAATGGAGTCTAAATTACAGAGAAATAGCAATGTGTGTGTGGAGTCAGAAGCATCAACTTAAATGAACTGCCGAATGACTCCTTAAGTTTGAGAGTGACAAAATTAATGTCCTTCAGAAAGAGACACACCACCTTAAAGAAAATGCCAAAACAGAGACGCAGGAAGGGAAGGCCTACCGGACCACAGGAAGTCAGAGCAGCCAGGAGCATGAGGACAAAATAAAAGCCTGGGAATATGAGAGGAGGGTGTTGCTCAAAAACCATCGACAACCTGAATTTGACTGTGGTAAAGTTATTGAAGTCACTTGACAGTAACCAGTATAAGGAAGTGAAGGAGGAGGAGGTGGATTATAGGAGATGAGAGAGGTGGAGGAGGGAGAGAACGTGAAAGATATGGTGGATGAGGGGGTGGAGGAGGTGACAGAGGCAAAGTGCAAGAAGAAGAAGAACAAGAAGAAGCCTTCATGTTGGAGGAGGTTCATTTAATCCCCTGTTGAGGTGGTGGGTGAAAGATGAGGAGGTGGAGTAAGTGACAGCTGAGCCACCACCTGAACCTCCACAGGTGAGCTGTGGACGTACCAACGCGATACTGAAAGAAGAAGAAGAGGCCTTTGCAGTGGAGGAGGTTCATGAACTCCTTTGCTTTTGGCTCATGCGCGCATCCAGTCAGATTAAGAGTGATGATAGTGCACAGTGCAACTAGTTTTCCATAAAACTATAAAACAGCCTCACTGTGTCTGTTTCCTCTCCTAACATTCCTCCCTGTCATCATTGAAACCGGTGCACCTACAAAAAGTGCCCAATATGGCCATGTCTTGTTGTGTATGGGTATTTTTTCTCCCCACACAAAAGCGGTGCTAATGACAAACACATTGGTTTTTCTGTGTTTCACAATAATAGTTGCCTGGTGTTTTGAAAATGGAATGCTTTTTATGTGGAGGAGCAGCAACAGGAAATCTTCAGTTAGCATTAGCAGTTAGCACTCCAGTATTAATGTGTCCACTAGAACAGCGACCACTGTGAACAATAGACCTATTATAGATAAAAGTGGCAGGAATTTTTTACTACAGGCTAGGAGCTTTTTAATGTCTCTATATTGATTAATTGCTGATCTGACATTACTGCAATGAGGAGTGGCGTTTGTGGCCTGTAGTGAGTTGCCATTGTCACAGCTAGATTTAACCTCAGTGCTGTGTCTCACGCCTGGGTCTCACACTGGAAGCAGGACACTGTAGGCACCACACTGGCGGTCTCTGAAGTTTTCTGACCTCATTGTCATTGTTCACGGAACCAGTTTGAGACGACTTTTGCTTTGTGGCATGGTGCTGGAAGTACCCGTTAGAAGAAACTTAAAGGGCCATGAAGGGATGCACACGTTCAGCAACAATTCTCAGATAGTCTGTGGCATTCAAACCATGATTGATTGGTATTAAGGGGCCCAAAGTGTGCCAACAAATCATTCCTCACATCATCACACCACCACCATTAGCCTGGAGTGTTGATACAAAGGGAGGCTGTGTCTGCGCGCCTCAGCAGAAATCCAGATTCATCAGACCAGGCTACATTTTTCTTTCTGTCCAGTTGTGGTGAGGCTGTTTCCACTGCAGTCTCAGATTTCCGTTCTTGGCTGACAGTGGTCTGAGGGACCTTTAGCCTTTCTGTCAGCCCCAGAGTAAATTAAAGTAATATGAGTCTATTATACAGAAGAATTACCCCGGTCAGAGTTGTATGATTATTTGTGTTGAAACAAGTTGATTGAATTGATCAATCAAGTTAACTTTTTTATATAATTGAATAACTGTTAAGGGCCCTTTTTTCAAGCTTACTATCTACTTATATTCATTTTGAAAAAAATTATTGTAATTTGTAATTGTAAAATTAATTGTAAATTTATTATCTTTGGGTTTTGCTTTTACACAATAACACATGATGGCTTCTTTCCACAAATCACAATACATTATATTTTCTTAGTAATGCATAAAACCATCATTTTCATTATCCATAAATTTGGTAATTAATTGCTCTGAGTAATTAGTTACCCGAAAATCAGAGTAAGAGATATTTTATTTTTTTTGGCATTTCTGTGTAAATAATGATGATATTAAGAATAATTATAAGCCCGTCAGTGATGAAGGTCACATGGTTTTCCTTCAGAATATCACTGTCTATAGAAGCAGCTCCTATTTACCATAGACTAAAATATAATTTGGAATGAAAACATTCATTATTCAACATTCATCTATTCATCCATCATCAAAATAAGGCTTTGATTTTTTAAAATGGAAACTTAAAATATGATATTTGATAACAGACACTGTACCAGTGTGTCTACTTTATGATTTAATTTTTTTGTTAGATTTTTTTAATCTAACAGATTATTTAGTTCTATTAGTTTTGAGTTACTCCTGATGGTTTGTGTAAATGTGGTATCTACCGCCTGAAGATTTTTATGGAAGCTGTTACTAAATGCTGGCTTCAGAGAAGCCCTCCCACTAAGGACCTTTTTATAGGCACTGTCAACTATCTACGTTCCATGGAAAAAACGACTTACTGTAGAGACAGAGGGTCTACAGAAAAACAAGGATGAAAAATACTGGATGAAATAGGATTGTTACTGTCGTCTTAAACATGAGGTAGTATTGCTCAAACCCTTACATGATGTACTGTAGGCTGCCTGTGTACCTATCCGTCCCAGATGTTTGTTGACCTCGTCCTAGCGCTCATGTTTTTGTCCTAATATATGAATAGCCTACATATTGGGTCGGGATGCAGAAAATTTGTTTTCGCTTCTTTTCTACCACACCAATCATATTACGACCTCCACCCCCAATGATTTTTCCTTCACTTTGCTGGTCAAAGGACAGGGAGTGACACATGGGATCAGTTTGCCTTCGAGGTTTTTTGCCAGAAAGCCTTGGCACATAGTTAAAAGTTGTGAAAGGGTCTATATCCCAGACCGAGATCTTCTCCTAAACCTTGGCCTAGTAGCTACTTTTGTAGCCTAAACTGAACCAAACTGCGACTGAAAAATGAAAGTCAACAAGGTGTTCTAGCAGAAAGTACATTTTACTGATACTTCGGTACCTTTTACTGGAGTTAGATATGAAATGGAGGAATGTTACTTCTTCATGTCTCTGGATTGGTAAGTAAAGCACTGGACATTTCCACACACGCACCACCGCCATCCTGCCTCTTGATTTTTAAACGGGCAGGGGCGGGGCAACTGATACTTTCGTCACTTTCCGTCGACGGTCGCAGCAGGAAGACCCTTCACCGGGTGGTTTTGTTGTGGATGACACCTCTCCACGTCCTTCAGCAGTAAAATGTACTACAAGTTCAGCGGTTTTACCCAAAAACTGACGGGATCTGGTCCTACGGCCGCCTACAGCCCTCAGGTGAGACCGGGTAGCAGAGACAAACTGAGCCGGTCACCGGAAAGGGATGACCTTCATATCACCGTGTTGGATAACGAACCGTTATTAGGTTTCGTGTAACTATCGTGGCTTTAATATTCACCTTAGGTTAATTAAAAACCTGTTAAATATACTATTTAGCGTTTCATTTCCCAAATTTGTTGAAAAATAACGGGTCATTTGCGGTATTTTTGTATCCGATTACACGTTACCTCGAGCTATTTTCATCTCAACTTCATTTTACGTAATTCACCCATTTCATTCTCCAGATATGTCATATAAAGTCACCTGTAGTTTTTTTTTATAAAGTAATGTAGCGTTGTTACCATAAACAGAGAGGCTGTGACTTTTCTTTCTTTCTTTCTTTCTTTCTTTCTTTCTTTCTTTCTTTCTTTCTTTTTACGTAAACATTAATTACCTTTTCCACCACTGCCTTATCACAGAGCCTTTAGATAACCTTTATTCTGAAAGGTCATTTCCAATCTGTTGATCTGGCCTTCATGTGAATTTACAGCCAATTTCGAAATCCAGTGGCCTCTCTGAGCTTCTGCCAGATGTGACCTTTATTATTGCTCCTCTGTCCTTTACACTGCAGCCTCTTTGTTATTCTATGATAGGGTTAGACTGTCGTCAAGCTCCCCCGTGTCTCGGTTGGGAAATCACTTATTCAACTTTTAAATTAGTTTTTGTTGGGAGAAAATTGAGCCAAGTAATTGGTGGGCTGTAACTAAAACACTAACCCAGTCTTGAGTTGCTGTTTCCTACAACTGCAACTAACAATTATTTTTATCATTGAATAATCTGATGATTATTTTCACTTAATTGATTAATCGTTTAGTGGATAAAATAGCAGAAAATATTAAAGTGGCAATCCCAGTTCCTTCAAATCCAAGTAGACAGCTTAAGATGTCTTGCTTTTTTCCAACTAACAGTCTAAAACCCAGAGATATTTAGTTTACAAACCTGTGAAACAGAAAATCTTCACGTTTGAATGGCAAATAACGGATTTTCAAAGTAATTGTTTATTCTCTGAGGACTGACTAATCGATTAATCCTCTAATTGTTCCTGTTCTAGTGTTTCCCTTTCATGCTACTTCACACCTCCTTATATGGTGCAAAGTAGAAAACTGTGTCTCTTTATTCCACTTAATTTATTTCACAGCTAAAGTTACCAGCTAATTTTCAGATTAAGGTTCTACACACAAATAAGAAAAACACAGTTTATAAAATGTGATACACTATTGAGATTAAACTGCACCAAAGTAAATAAATTAAGTAATTTAGTTAAAAGGATCTGAGACCAAATTCCATATGTACAACATTAGAACAATTCAAGTACGTCCCATGAAGCAGTGGCTGTTCTCCGTTAGCATGCTACTTATTACTGGTACAAGTGGGGTTGTCAAGTATAACTTTAAATCTTAATCAGATGATAATGAAACAGCAGCAGGTGGTAGAGATGCTGTAATAGACTTTCATTCAATCCTTTGTATAGTTTACAGGTGTTGGCAAAAATACATTTGGATTCTGCCACTACAAGTCATGTGAAATTTGCATTTATGTATTTATTTATAGAGAACATTAAAGCCCCTCAGAGAAATCCAAGTGTCTAATATCAGTTTTTGTTGCAGTTCATTCAAGTAGTGACACATATCATACCCCTGCTTGGAGTTTGGAGAATAATTTTCAAAGCTAAGCTATCCTGTGATCTGGTGTCATGGTTGTTCACTTTGACCTCAACCGAAGATATTAAATGGATTGCGTGGCCTTAAAATAAAAACACAGATGGGCTGAGACTTTCATATAACTCACAGTGGTGAGTGCAATAGCCGCCTTGAGTAATGAAGCAAACGGCACTGTGGTTTTTTGCCTCCCCCTCAAACACATACAAAATTAAAATGGTGCTTACACAATTGTGCAGCAGCCATAATAAACCAATAACATTACTCATGCTAGTAAAATAATAACAGTGGCCATTCTGCTTAATGAATACATTAACTTTTCATGCTTTCAGTACATTTTGCTGATAATACTTCCATATTTTTACTATGGTAAAAATTTGAATGCACTAAATACAGTGAATAAAAGACTCATGTAAATCCCTGATAACGTGAAAAGAGGCAGACTGTCTGAGCAGTGCATTTGACTAGAATAGATGTGTTTAAACAGCAGTACTTTTATTCAACCATAAATGGAGCAGACCACAATGAAGCAGGTTATAGTGTGTGGATAACTTGTCAACTCCATCACCGGTCTCATATGAGTCATTTTTGCCAAAAGAGGTATTAATTATAGTAGGGACTGGGTTTGATAGCATTTTATTGAATCTGAATCCTTAAAAAAATATTTTGTCGAATATTTTCAGGTTTATTTGTTTGGTGGGGAATGATAACATCTTAGTTTCAGCACATATTTTGTATTTTGTGACACTCATTAACCCTGTCCTGGCTAAGTTTTCCTTTTCTTCATTTGCCCCACATTGGGAGTGTCTGTAGCGCAGCTGCAGAGGTAGAAACAACACATTAGAAATAATATTAATTCTATTTTATCATTCAGTAAATATCCGGTTTTCTTCCTTCTACTTTGCATTTTTCTCATTATTCCTCAGCATCTGGCGCACCGCAGCACACGGCCCTCTGTAATAACAAGTCATGCAGGAGAAATGACAAAAAAATACAGGGAGGAATCTCATGCCATGATGAGTTCCTGCTGCAAACACTTTTAGTCAAGCCTTCTGTGGCAAGTAAAAATAATCTTGCTCTCAGTGCCTCTGCGTTTTCATATGTCAGATTTAATTTCCCCGCTCCCACACTGTCTGCCTCCACACATGCTCAACAAGGTAATGGGTCTGCCAGTGATTTCTTTCAAAATAAGGGTTGGTGAGAAGCTTCCTCCATAGTGTGAGGGTATTAAGGAGGCACACTTGTATTTCATTAACACCACAGTGCACCCCTGGTTTATTTACTTAAAGTATTTACCGCCTGAAAAGTAGAACAACACTGTGAAATTTAATGATAATTTCAGTAGACTCACGCAGCTGAAGAGCGAAGGAACTTGTCCAAATCAGAATGATCGAAGAATTTTTAAGATTTGTGGGTGGGAAATGATCACAAGCCAAAATAATACAGTAAATATCTCACAAGAAAGACCCGTCTGCCTTTTTTTTTCTAGGGGGAAAGTGTGTCTGAAAATAATGTCTACAGGTACAAAGTGTATAAAAAGATGTGGCTGCATTAAACAAGGAGCCTGACAATAATCCTGTGTCCTCGCTACAGATATAAAATTAAATGACTTGAGACAAAAATAAGCCTAGATGTTAAAACACTGTAGTTTGCAGTGTTTAACTGCTACTTGAGATGCTCTTTAATAATCTAAACAGGCACTTAAGCAGTCGCACAAGTGGAGACATAATGTGCAAGATGAGATGAAGTTCTCATGCAATCACTTGTATTTATGCAGCAAGGCTGAGCTCATTAGCTTCCCTGTGAAGAGGATACGGGCCTTTGGTTGTATGTAATGTAGAAAGAAAGTTGCTGAAATGTAAGAGTCTTTTCTTTTGATTGTTACGGTCGAAGCGTAAGGCTGAATTGGTACAAATCACGTAGTCGTCCCACCCCTCAAAATTCGGAGAACGTTTAGATCATCAGCTATACCTACCTCACATTTATTTCCAGGTGAGACACTTCTGGTCTATTATACCAATTTGTTTCCTAGTCTTAACGACACTTATAACGGATGTAGGAGTTCACTTTCCAGTTCCTTTCGTAGGCTTTTGACTTCTCTCCAATTGTCTGAATATTGGACTGAAGTATTTTGCTTGGCATTCCTGATGACAGTTATTTCTCCGAGACTTATGTCTCTGGCTTTCACTTCTTTGCTGGCTCGGCACATTATCATTCTAAAATGGAAGCAACAACTTTTGCTGCTTTTTAATATTTTATTACATTGAAAGTTGAATATCTTGTCTTACTTTGGATAGCTGCTTGGACAAAACAAGACATTTGGTCTTTAGGAAATTTGTTTTGTTTTTTTTTTTGTTTTTTTTGTCATTTTATTAAATACTTTTTCTTTCTTTTCTTCTTTCCGCACCTTCCTTTTTGTTTTCGTCAAGGTCTTTTATTGACAGGGTTGGAATAGGATGGAGGGGGTGTTCATAGATGGAGTTGTGTGTTTGCATTTTAAATAAGTGTTAGATGTTTTTAATTATTTAATACAGTTTGTGAAAAAAAATGTAATAATGTCTTAGATACATTGAGCTTTATTGTGACCAGTTGGTTGTTCTTGTTCAGGGGCTGAGGCCAGGTGTGCCAGCAGAATCCCCAAGCATGATCTTTGCCACACCCACCAAGGTGGTGTCAGAGGCCGGGGCCACGGTGGAATACATGGGCGCAAACAAGGTTCAGGAGTTCCAGAGGATATTCCAGGTAATGAAGGACACAGACTGATAAATGTGTCTTCTTTTCTTTTTTTTTTTTTATTATTCCATTTGACACTTATACAGTTGGCACAGTGAGTTAGCTTTTAATTCAAAAAAGTCTTCAGAGAGAGGTTTAGGGGGTTCAACTTTATCAGTCACAGCAGTGGAGATTCATCAGCGTTAGGCAGTGACTGGTAGTCATTTCACTCTCTGTCCTTAATGGCCTTCTGCTTCCCTCCTCAGTATTCATCACACAAGAGGCAGCGAGGGAAATAATAAAGGACTCAGAAGTTGAGCAGAGCAATCACTCAGACAAATGGAAATCACAGTTTTATAAATTCAAGAATATTTTTTTTTATGAAAGTGTAGAAATTCTGACCTTCCAGATTCCACGACAGAGAAAACCTCTTCTTCTTTCATAACAAACTGTCAGTTTTGTTTTTCCAATCAAACGTTGCAAGGACAGTTTTTAATTCTAAAAATACTAATATAGAAGAAACATTGGATTTCTTATTACAATATTGAGAAAATGTATGTATTTTAAAAACATTCAGACTTGATCAGAAACTGGGTGAGTGTTTAGTGAGTTGCAATAACAGGTAGTTAAAGAATTAGAGGGAAATCCAAATAATTTGAGGCCTATCTGAAAATACTCTGTACTATCTGTTCTGTGCTTCCTCTCATTATTTTTATTTCTTCTTCCTCGACCCTCTCCTGCTTTCCCCCCGCCCGCCCGCTTCCTGTTTCATCCTTTTCCCAGGCGCCCGACGGTGTCCCCGTTCATTTGAAGCGCGGCGTTCCCGACAGGCTACTGTACCGCACCACCATGGCTCTCACTGTCGGAGGCGCTCTCTACTGTCTGGTTGCTCTTTACATGGCAGCCCAGCCCAGCAATAAGTGACCAACACAAACCCAGGATCTTTCTCTTTAACACCTCCGACATGTCTCTGCTGTAATACGTCGACCCAACGTTCACGGTCTCCATCTGCCCTCGCCACGCCACCTCTTGGGACTTGACTCGATGAGAATTTATCACTTTTAGAACACCACACCAATGATAACGATAATAATGTCTGTCTTCTTTGTTAAAAATAAATTAATACATTTTAAGGGGAAACAAAGCTACAAGATGCTCTGAGTCCAGTCTTTTTTTTTTTCTCTTTGTCACTGAAATAGCGCTCACTATAGTCGAGGTGTGATTATTGCCAATCAGCTGACAGATGCACGGACATCATGTATGAAACTCTATAGGGGCGTGTTACAGGCATGTTCTCCCTCAGCTCTTACAGATGCCAATATAGAAGCGGACATGTGAAGATATATATATATATATATTTAGCTTTCAACAGGCTTGTAGAAGTGCTACCATAAGCATGATGGAGACACCCCGTCAGGAACATAGCTGCTGCTCACTTGGCTTAAGTACTGTCTCATACAGTATTTATATGTGTGGGCCCTGGTGTGATTTCAGATGCTCCTCACCGAGCTCTGAGGGTGGGAGGTTGTTTCAGACGGACATGTTGGCAGTTCCACATCAAGCTGCTGAAACACAGATGATCATCTCAGACTGGTATGGTATGTTTGGTGTGTTTTTCTTTCTGAGTGGGTTGAGACGGGCAACATAAGGCTTGTACAGGAAGAGGGTATTTTAATAACAAGTGTAATGTGTCACATCTTATGGGAACTTATATGCAGAGTAGTGGGAGAACGACTCGGATCTTTTAACCTTTTCAAATACGCACTGTGCCACCGATGAGACGCTTTGGCCTCGGTGGCGCTCAAGTTTTACACAAACTTGACAAATTGTACATAATTTGAAAGCTCTTAAGTCTCCTGATTCTGACGGTGCAAAGCATTTTATCATCCCCATTTCACTGCAACAGCTGCTGACACAGAGCTAGTTCAGATTTATGGCTAAAACTCCAGCGTTTTCCACCCAAAAGGTCTTGCAGGTATTTTTTTTATGACAAAAACAAATAGGCGAGGCAAAAAAAAAAAACAACAACTTACATTCCCACCATGTTTCTCTTTCTTTGACTTTCAGTATAGTATAGTATAGTAGTTCAGTATCTCCTATACTCTTTCTGATTTTCTGGATGTAAATTTTAAAGGGGATCAGGGTTATGACTGTAATCGAAAGGGTTGAAGGACTCTGTTAAAATACTCCTACAAATAAAAGCCATACATTTATCTAAAAGTATTAGCATCAAGACATACTTAAAGTACCAAAAGAAAATGTACTCATCATACAGAATGCCCAGTTTCAGAATAATGTATATTATATAATTGGATTATAATTATTATATGTATTATTAATGTGTATGTCACTTTAGGCAGAGGCCAGTAGCTTGTGAATCCCCCCCCCCGGGATCAATAAATTCTTAGCTTGACCTATAATGATACATCATACATATACATCATGGGTGGTACATTTATCCAGCCTTTCACCCAGTTCAAGAGGTCTCTCCCTGAGAACCACTTCATATAAATGTACGCATCATCTTAGGCTCTTCCGCCAGGACCTTAAGTTGCTAATCTTAGCTGAGCTTTTCCCATATATCAACCCGATATCGGCAGCTGATTGTCTCTATGTTTATGGAGTTTCGTATTCCATTATATATCCATGATACTAGATGTTTCTTGTCTTTAATCTTCTATGCATCAGTGAAGATACTGACCAGATTAGGTTCACTATTCTCCATTTATTTAATCTCTTTGCCTAATTAGTCTCTGATGCCCGGCAGCCGAACACTCAACGAGAGGCGGCCTTCGCTGGTTTAACTGATTGGCACAGTCCTCACAGACAGCTCGACCACTTGTAATCATCAAGTAGCACACACTGACGTAGCGCAGTGTGTGGAGCACAGTCATCAGGGCAGGGGTGTGTTTTTCATCATGTAAGAACGCTTTTTAGATTTATGTTTATCTGCCCAGTAACTTTTTGACCCCTGAAATTAGAGGATTATTTATGAACAGGACAGTTTATAAACAAGTCTACAGCCACACATGAGTCTGATTATAAACCTCATAGTTCATTTCAAATCCAGTTTAATAGGTTAAATAAGAACGTGTCACTGTCCATATATTTTCTAAATGCACTGTAGAAGGAGGGTATAGGAAGGGTTTAGTTTTATGCATATACCTCTGATAATTTCAAAAACCCTTGAAAATAAAAACAGCTAAAGTTTTTTTTCTTTTTAATGATGGATAGCCATAGAACAGGCACCTTCATTTGTCAGGCTGACTCAGCTCTGGACCTCCCCTTCTCATGGCATCAATACTTCCCACCCCGAGGAAATCCTTATGATGGATAATTGATGATAGCACTGATTTAAAAATGAATAATTTGACCTTCTGGGGGAAATAATGAGTACTGTTAATAAATAAAGACACAGGGCATAATTTGAAGAATGTCTCACTCCGAAACACCCCATTCTACAGAGCGAGGGTGCAGGTACGGTGCTTACATGCAGGTGTGTTCCAGCTGTGAGTTTGTGATGGCTGGTAGGCACTGTACATCTACGATGATTTATTTTTCGCCTGTCGGTGCTGATTTTACAAACAGACAAAAAATAAATCATCGTTCTATTGGGTTGAGATCTGGTGACTGTAAAGGCCACAGCATATGATTCACATCATTTTCATACTCATCAAGAATTCAGTGACCCCCCGTGCCCTCTGGATGGGAGAGACCAGTCCGGATAGAGGATAGATACGTTTCATCACAGGATAAAGCGATCACCCAGAAAGACTTTATATTGATTTGCTGTGAAACTTCCCTCTAAGGGGAGAAGCGGACCCACACCACGCCAGCAAAATCCCCCTCACCTTTGTAATGAGCGATATACGTGCTGTAGCCCTAAAATAATTCCCCTCTCCGTGTAACTGGTGTCAGCCTGTTCTTGCTGACTCAGTGTGATCACATCCTGCACTGACATTCTCAGTCAATTGAGAGAGAGCTGCTCTTCTGTTTTTCCCTCACATATCACACTAATGCACGAGCATCACGGTCATCACATGTGAGCTGTCAACCGCAATTTCTGACCCTATTTCCTGACGTCTCTTATATAGATCTAAATGCAGATGTCACTTCAGTCTCTGTTCCTATTGAAACATCAGCCAGTTGTGGATCTTTGTGACTGAAGCTCCTGCCATCTGTGCTCCATCTATGAACCTGGGCCTGTTCGGCATTTCAATACCTGCCACAGAGCATGATTGGATATTGGTTTGCGGGATTGAGGTTTTTTTTCCCTTTAATTTGTCACCGTTCTGTATCTGAGAAACCATCCCCTGAAGAGTCAAAATGATTGCCTTGAATTTAAGGTGTAAAATGGGAGAACAAAGCCTGTCTTTGAGCTGTTCATTTGTTTCACTAAGGAATCTCCTGCTCACTCTGTCTCTTTACAACTTTTCCCAGTTATTCAGTCACTGTCCTCCCACCGAGGCTTTTCTTAGACAAACATAATCATTATGTGCACACATTATATTGTCAAGAGAGGCACCTCATGTCTGGTCTCGATAATAAACCCTGTACCTGCTTTTCATCGAGGAATCCTTCAGAATCTCCTTAATTCCACCCCTCTGTCTCCCCCATCCTTCCTGCGTCATGACAACCCACTTGAGCATCCCTCAGTGACAATAGATCCTTTTGTTGTCGCTCTTCTGCCCGACAGGAGAGACACGACGACTCAATAACATGTTTACCACTCAGTTACACAGCGCTCCAACTGCTAATCAAGCGCTCACCTGGGGGAGCGTGAACACAGGAAACTGGGGCAAAAGGAGAGACAAAACACAGGAAGCAAAATTGGTGTGTGAGGAGGGGGGAGGAGGAGAGAGTGAGAAGAAGGTTGTTATAAATGGAGGATGGGTGTGACTTATTGCAAGAAAAGTGAAAATATAAGCCCCCTTTTTACAGGGTGAATCCCTCCCTTTGAGACAGCTGTTTCCATCTTGTATTATGAGACACTTATCTATCCTGTCACCAGCTTCGCTCTTTGAAAAAGATCATTGCCGATCAGTTGTAAATCAGTTAATGCAGCTTTAAAATGAAAGCTGATTTGTGGCCACCGTGGAGAAGATGAGAGTTTGCGGAAAAAGGCTCTTACATCAACCATAAAACATCCATGAGATGGAGAAGTTAAAAAAAATATATAAAATGAATACAATTCTACACATTGTGGGTTTAAACATGATTGTTTGATCCAAACTAGACATTGAAAATAGGGAATGGTCATTTGTCTTAGGAAAAAGGGTGCATTATCACATGCACAGTGAAAAATCTAACAGTTCTGAATGAAATTCTGTCGACAACTTTATATTTGAAAATAAAGTGTTGTCTGTTTTATCTCAATAAGTAGAAGTACTGGACCCAGACAGCAGCAACAGTTTGACAGAAAATTATTCAGACATGACTGTGTTGGGAAAAATTGCTGCACATCAAAGAATGTCATGACAGACGTGTAATAGGATAGAAAAACGATTCCTTTATCGAGACATATATTCCTTTATTAAAAAGGTAACCGAAAGGATGACAGTGATTTCTATGTGGGAGCTTTTCTTTTGTTTTGTCTCAGAATTGTAGTGTTTCTTTTTCTATTTTATTTCTAATAAAACCCCTCTAGCTTTCTCCTCTTATTTCTGTGTTTGGGTGGGGAGTGTTTTTGTGCTTTTGTGAGTTACCGTGCTGATATTATATTCCACATTAACAATAATGGTGCTGGAGGAAAAAGTCGGAGGAAAAGTCAACAAAGTTGTTCTCTCTATTCTTGCCGAGGAACATTAATATCTCTGCTAAATTCAGTCAAAAGTCAGCAACATCATATGATGTGAAAACTAAGAACAATGAACGTCTGTTTTTTTCCATGTAGTCGATGAGAGATTTTTCACTGGATAAATGAAAACTTTGGCCTGATCGTGGTGTTAGACAAGAAGTCCAGGAATCAGCCACAACCACTTCCCTGGCTTTGAATTTTGTCCAAGCAAACATATTAGTAATCTGTTTCTTACATCAAGCAGACTCAGAGCAACATTAGCATTCATTTAGTGTCGCTTTTTCTGGCTACGAGACAAATCGAACTCCAATGTTCCCACTGTTTTTCACTGCGGCTTTGTTTGCACCAACTCCTGAGAAGAATACCTGGCTGTTCAGCTTCAGATTCGAGATTGTGGTGTACAGGGAGTTTATCAGGATGTTCTTGCTGAAAACAGCTGTCTGCTGCAGCTGGAAAACAAAGTTAATAAGAGCTGTGAGACTGGACCCTTATGTTGAATTTGCAGGCTGTACAACCAAGATGACCAAAAAGAAAAGAAAAAAAAATCTGTATGGAAGTGCAGAGTTTGGGTGCTAATTCTCTATTCTCCACTGCATGAGCAATCTTTTCACATTGCGCAGACAATGGGTGACACTATGGACGACAGAGAGCTGAGGGTGCTTCTTAATTCAGAGTGTACTACTCTTGTCTGTTTGTCCCTCCTCATAGGAACAATGCAGAAACATAATAGCTCTGCAAATAGCAAACACATGGCTCAAACAACTGCCTTGCAGGAAAGGCTGTTGGGAGGATGGGGGCGTGGTGGGTGACAAATCACCTCTGCTCACAATGCCACAATAACACAGCCTGAGAACGAGCAGTGAATAAAGTTGTCTGAAATTGAATGAGGAGAGGATTTGGAGAAGCAGAAGCATGTCCGCGTGTGTGTAGATGAAAGGACCCACAAGTGGGATTGAGCCCATGATTTTCCGTCCATCGATCACACGTATGAAAACACCTCGAGGGACAAAAGGAGAGGGGTATGAATCATCTTAGCGATCCTCAAAATACACACTCACACCAGGCCGAAGGTGAAATCATGGTGAGATTTAGCTCAGACGGGGTTGAAATCAACTTCATCACACCTTTTGCTCTCTAAGGGGCCCTACTTGCCACTTCCTCTGCTCACCACATTTAATGACGTATCAGAACCAAGGTGGAAAATAGAAGGAAAAAAAAAAAAGAGTAAAGGTAATGGAGGCAACAGCGTGAGATCAGATTGAATTTCGTCAGAGGGATGGAGGGAGAGGTTGAGGCATGAAAATGGCGCGCTGATTGGCGTTGTAAGTGTATGTAGGCTACTAATATGGCTGGAAAATTCTCTCTCTCTCTCTCTCTCTCTCTCTCTCCCTGTATGGCTTTTGAAAATGTGTTTTTCCCCTCTTTTCTCTTTTTCCTCCAGGCTATTTTTCTCAGCCTTTCCCTGGCAACAACCTTATGTAAGAGATCAAACACAGGGCGAAAGGATAGCTCTGCCCCTGGCTGTGTGCTGACACTGTGCACCAATCCCAATAATACTAAACAGCAAAATTTCACACTGCAAAAATGACCGCTCATCCCCCCCCCCGGACATAATTACAGCACAGTATGTTGTACTGTCTTACAAGTGTCTGCAAACAGCATCCCTGATTTACTTTGACAATTTGACACTGCGATGCAGAAAATGCAAGTTTCATTGTGGTTATCGGGCTGCGAGGTTGAACAAGAGATGTGGGCGGCGTGAAAGGAGTAAAATGAATGTCCCTAAAATGAAAGTGAATCAATATGGTTGCCTGAGGAAGTGAAAAGGTGGAATGAGAATGAGAGCGGGAGAGGGAGAGGGAGGAGGGTGTTGAAATAGTGTTGGAGCAAGATTAATGGTTGTTTAAAAAGGAACAGTATTCATCAGTAGTCAGCTTCAGGTGCAGAACGGCGTCTGTGTGTGTGTGTGTGTGTTAGTGTGTAAGTACACTTTGCAGTAAGTATTTAACTTCCCCACATGACTACTTCAGTAATGACCACCCAACCATAATACTGATTACTTTGTATTATATTACTAAATGAGTGCGAGGCTCAGTTTCTTCTCTTCATTTAATCTCTGTTGCCTTCACATAAAAACACACACACACACACACACACACACACACACACACACACACATAGTGGTGATCCAACAGCCCCACCTGCAGGTTTAACCTTTTTTTTTTTTAGATTCAATCACTCAACAACAAATCACATCCCTTTAATCAAGAATTCCCATGAAAAAATAAACACTGATGAAGAACTAATATATTTATTCATGTCAAAAATCTTCAGGAGCAGATTAAGACTTCATCCATACAAAATAATCACAACTCTTAGCATTATTACAAAATCATCTCTCCCACACGCTGCAAACAGAGTGAACATTCCCAATAAATAATCAGTGAAAAGTTTAAAAGGAATTCAGCAGGAACACAAGAGATACCCTCATGGTCGCATTCAAAACAAGCACAGACCCAACAAAACACGCATCCATTCTATCACTTGCACTTGTACGTGAGCTGTTTGCGATGATAGTGGATCCACGCGGGAGACGCAACAAGCCCGGTCAGGAAGCCGATCATGGCGCCCAGACTGCAGGAAACAGGCCAAACCTACGAGAAGAACACGACGTGTGAGTCTGTCCATTCGCGGCCGTAAATTGGGATGAAAAAAACACTCCATTGTTGCACTGATACATCAGGGGGCGGGATGTTGTGCTTCCCCCGCAAGCACAACATCTCCACTTGTGTAATGCTCGGTTAATTTAAAGAGTAGCTTCTAAAGGGAAAAAAAATTCAGCTCCACTGACATTCAGAGTTATGCTCCAATAATCAAAGTCTACATCTAATTTGCATTTTCCTCCAGTCAGTGTGAAGAGAACTCCCTTTGCAATTAGAACTCTAATCTTTCCCTTCTTGTCATTTAAAAAAATGGATTAATTAAAGAAAGAGAAATATTTAATGGTTACTGTGTTGAATTATAATTTCATAGAGGTTGTATTTAATACTCCTCAGTGATGAATGGAAACAGCTGGCTTCTTGTTAACAGAGGAAACTGTGAAGAGAGTGTGCTGTGTGCCAGAGGCAGACAAACAAGATGACTGGTAAAGATTTACGGGAAAAATTACTGTGAGGTTACAGAAATGCTTGAATCATTTTGTGCATTTACTGTTTGTTTTCAAAGACGATGTTATTTATAAGTGGTTTTAAGGTTTGAAGCGAGTTCTGCCTCGTCAGATTGTTTGATCTGAAAAATTTCGGAGGCCCGGAGAGGCATGAGTGTCGAGTAATTCACAAGGAAAAAAAAAGCAAAAACATTATCCTGCAACAAATTTGTGGAATCCTAACATGAAAGCTGAGAATCAGTGTTAAAAAGTACCACAAAACAGAGCCGCTTCTCATATTAGTCATGGATCACTTTGCTTGAGAAAGACATTTTTTAAGCATCTAACTTTAAGTTGAACCTCTTTATTTCTGTCACAGCACACCGCTGCTCTGATGCTCCAACAAGAAACTCGCATGAAAAAGAGGTTTAGGATAGGATAAACTGTTCTCATATGATTCCGGATACGACGAGAAAGATCCCACAGTAAACATTTTGTTAATGAGAGGATTTCCAGTGTGTGCTGACCTGCCACGGCCTGTCCCAGTCCAGAGGTATAGGGAAGGCTCCGACCCAGGCTCCTACCACTGTGCAGGCGACTGTGATCTGTAGACAGGTGTCCCACACAGACATAGCTCTGGAGATGGAGACAGCAAAGCAAGGTCGGTTTAGATACACAAGATAAACACATGAACTATATGACAGAGGGTTATGGAGCAGGGAGAGAAGAAAATCAGATTTTGAGGTTACCCGTGCCGACTGAACACACGTATCCAGGCCTGGACGTTGGGCCCAAGGACACAGAGACACCTCAGTGTGGTTAGAGAGGTCAGCAGCACAGCAAGGGAGAACGTCTCTAAGGCAGATCTGGAAAACACAGGACACACAGGAATTAGAGACACCGTAGCACCAATCAAATGCCTAACTAGCACCACAGAGTTACAACACAAACATTTTGTGGAGGCAAAACTTGCGCCAATACAGCAAAGCATAGAAAACAGTAACTTTTAGAAAGGAATGATTACAAGGTATAATAATGCGTTCAATAAAACAGAGACAGAGAAAATGAAAATGTGAGAACGTGTAATTTTTCAAAAAGTAGGTGTTATTTATCTGGAATATTTGGTTGTGGGTGATACATTTGAAAGTGTATTACTCACAATCATTGTAACAAAGTCGCTTCATCCAAACTAACAGCAACAACTCCCTCTGTTTTTCTTTTTCTCTGCTGCACATCTCCCTCTCTCATAACCACACACGCACAGGGACAGTGTACGAGCATCTCCGTGTACTCACTCAATCAGCGGAGCTCCATAGAGAACGACTACACTGTGAAAGAACAGGCACGACAGGAAGAAGTACAGACAGGAACGAAACAACCTGGACAGCTGCAGAGAGAAAGGGGTGAATTAAGTTCACCAAACAAACGTTACAGAGAAAAAGCACACATAGACCAAATTATTAATTGGGAAAATAATCGATTATGAAAATATGTTAGCTGCAGCCATGTATATTTGACTATAGTTTATATGGTCCAAATACTGACAGACTTGACTGTTATAGTGTCAGCAGCATAAAAAAAAACTTCTTAAGTCTCATGTCTGACTGACTGTGGTTAAACTGAAACGTCCACTCAGCTTTTGGAGATGATAAGACGTAGCGAGTGGGCAATTAGATACTTGCAACAATTATTAATTCTTTAAAACAAATAATGACAACACTTACAGAGCCAGTATTCAGCCAATTTAACCCTTTTACACTACTACCACCACGAACCCAGCAGTCACCTTGTATCCCAGCGTGTGCTTCTTGGTGGGCGGTGTGATACCGAGCAGCCAGAAGACGGCGACACTGACCGCAGTCACCGTGCCGGACACCGAGTAGAGCCACAGCAGGTGAGTCCCGTACACCGAAAAGCCCCGTACAAACACCGCAGGTAAGACGGTCGCCATGAACACCGAAGCGGCGATGATGGCATGAGTGGACGCCATGGCTCTGATTTCATGGTCCCACATGACGGTTACTTTACCTACCTATAATTAATCAAATACGAAATTCTAAATAAAACCCTTGAAATGTTAATTTAGCATTGGTTTTGCAGGAAAGGTTGAGTGCACGGGTAGGTCGATTTATCTTCCGTAAACATGGAGCGACACTGACTTCCGCTTGCACTTCATAATAAAAGCCCAACGTTTATACCTCTACGAAAGCAAAATCAGCTAATTAATCTCAAATACCAAGAGATTGTGCTTTGAATTATTTTAAATTATTTTCATTATCAATTAATCTGCTGATTAATTAATCGATTAACCAACTAATCATGTTATCTATAAAATGCCAGAAAACCAACAGTCCAAAAAATAAAAGCTATTTACTTTAGACTACTATCATATAATACTAAGAAAAGCAGCAAATCCTCCCAAATTACTAGATACTACTTACTGCTAGGACTGGGTATTGCTTGACATTTTTATTGTAAAAATTACTTAAATAGGTTATCAAACAGTTTCAGATTATTTGTTATGCAATTATACTGACTTCTAAATCTGCACAAGCACCTTTTGTGATTTTGTGTTTTTGTGTCTGTGTAAAAACTGAAAAATACAGTTTGAGAATTTCAGATATTGTTAAATATCTTATATTGATGCAAACCTCTTTTACTTATTACTAGAATCATATTTATAATCTCTAATGCCAGTTAATTTGTTCATGCAGGAATGCCAAAAATGTCTCCCTGAGTTAGTGAAATTAAACCCCTCAGGTCTGTCTTGTTAAAGATAGCTTGATCTCAGTGAGATTTCCTGAATGAATAAAGCTCGACTAACTAAATCTCACGAACTCCAAGGATGAGACCCGTACAAGACCACCCTCAGGGTACTTTTATTTTGAAGAAATATACTAGTATGCAACAAACAGGAAGTATTATTTTGTTCTTGACTTTCCAGCCTTTAACCAATCACAGAAGGCCGGTGACGTATTACTGTGACCTTCCGTAACGGACAGAATAGTTAGCCAATGAAATTTGAGATTCTCGTAACTTTGACCAATCAATCTGCTTCGAACACGAATAGGAGGAATAAACGACCGGAAGTTTACAATCGGCTATCGAGAAAACTAACATTTAGCTAGCATTTTATTTTGACCCACCATCGAAAAGCCTCGATTATAACGAAACAACAGGAAAGATGGTTTGTGAGAAGTGTACGTATCACACAATTCAGATGCTTTCTACCTTTAACGTTTGACCACATTTTTGCTGTTAGCGAAGGCTGGTGATTTCCTCGATAGCAAACGTTATGCGACTGCTAACTGTCTTCATATTGGCTTATAAACACAGACTTGACTTCTTTAATAAGGTGCTATTTTCTCGGTGTTTCTTATTTTTTCAGGCGAGAAGAAGCTCGGTAAGGTCATCACCCCTGACACCTGGAAGGATGGAGCGCGGAATACAACAGGTAAGTCCAGGTCCTTAATTTAAGTAAAAGTACTATTACAACAAACTATTGTAACTCATAAATAAACGTGATAATCGCATGAAAAATAAAAAATATCAAACAGCCCAGAGTGACATCTCCACAGTGTTTTTTAGTTTAGTCAAACCAAAAGTAAACCTCAACATTATTAAAACTAGTAAATAAAAAAAAAAAAGCAGCAAATCATTACGTTTGAGAACCAGGAACCATTTAATTTTGCATTTTTCTTGCAAAACGACTTGAACAAGGGTCTTCCCATGTGTCCTGCAGTCCGTTGAAGTCTTAAGAATGTAGTCGACCTTACTTTGGTTATTTTATTGACAGACTTTACATGTGAAAGGCACACAATAGTTATTTACCAGTTAACCATTACCAGGGCGTGAGTAGTTTCTAACTCAATGACAAGTAGTTTCACAAACCAAGACAACATCTTCAATTTCAGTTTGCAATGTTGCTCCTAGTATTGAGCAGTATGACACAGAAAAACACATCATTTATCAATATGGTCTCTTCTGTTCATTGTGATATATTTAGTTTAACATGTCAGGTGTGACTCCAGTCTAGCTAAAACAAGATAAGACTTCACATAGGTTGGATGAGAGTCCCAGCCAGATATAGTGCTTAAGCACATTTCACCTTCTTTGTTTTGTTTTAATGTGCTTCTAATTTTATCACTGATCAACATCAATTTTTGCTTCGCAACTTCAAATGATAGTAACTACACTAATAACAAACACAAGCTTGACCCCTATTTTTGATTCTATTTTACTCATCACACTTTATTTTATATTCCCACAGTTGACATTCTTTCATGTTTTTTTGGGGGACCAAATCACACATAAAAATCTTTCATACATTCATTTATTTCTAATTTCTCTTTTTCTTTTAATTGTGACAAACGGTAATGTAATGTTAGTGATGGTGATATTTTCTTTCTTTCTGCTTCCTTCATTCAGAGAGTGGTGGGCGTAAGCTGAATGAAAACAAGTTCCTGACGTCTAAGAAAGCTAGGTGAGAAGCTCCATAAAGACTGGCTTTAAATCAAAGTCTTATTGTGTGTGACTCGTCATTTTGTTTATGAGGAAAAATATCACCACCGGTGTCCCTATTTTTATCTGCACAAAGTCACACAAAAGTTGTTTTTAATCTACTCACTCTGACTGTGGCACATAAGCATTTAGTATGTTGATTTATTCTCTACAGTCGTACTGTCTGAAAATCATACAGCAATGGTGCATCTCTATTTATGAATCTATAATTCATCTCCCTCTCAGGTTTGATCCTTACAGCAAGACGGGCTTCGCTACCTGCAGGATCTGCAAGAGCTCAGTTCATCAGTCTGGATCACACTACTGCCAGGGCTGTGCATACAAGAAGGGTAAAAACTCACCCACACTGGGCTTCATACCGAGCTGAAATCCTGATGAGTTTTGTGTTGCACTAGTGTGTTTTCCCTTTGAGAGTTTCCTTTAGTCAACACTCATGGAGCTGAAAATAACACAATGCTTTTATGTTGCTGTCCAATGTAGTTGTAGAGACCCATTTAACGAAGAAGATGGGGAGTAAACCTCACTATCGTTTCTGAGATTTTTGCACAAATGAAACAAACTTTAAGAAATTCATTGAGACAAGCGTCACACTATATCTTTACTGACAATACCAGTTTAAAGTCTGAAAATATCTGTAACCCGCTCTGTGCCAAATGAAATGTGAAAGGTTGGTTCACCTTTTTGTTTTGTTTATTTATTTTTTTGAGATTTCCATCTCTGAGATTTCAGTGTCCCAATTACTCTGGGTAATCCACACCCTTTCCTGTTATTAAGTACCATTTCTTCTGTAGAAAGACAGTCAAATGTAAAAGAGTCCACAGTGAGGTCTGTGGATTATCCAGAGGAACAGGGACTTTGTTTTTGCATGGCTCAATACCACTAAGGGTAAATGAGATTCGAAGTTAAGAAGCATAAGCCTGCAAACACACTGGTGTGGTCATTTACCTTCTACAAAATACAAGAGCAGCACCTGCTCCTAACATTGCTCCTCTCTCTCCACTGATATTTTTTCAGTGCTTTACTCTATTTCCTTCCCTTTTTGTTTCTCCAGGAATCTGTGCAATGTGCGGAAAGAAAGTTTTGGACACCAAGAACTACAAACAGACATCTGTGTGACAGTGTGCCGATCCGAAAACAGTTCTACAAGTGAAAAAGAGATGTGAAGATGAAACTGAGGTGTATATATGTCATCTTGTCACATTTGCTGTATTATTCCACAATTCCCTGTCATAGACAGCTATAACTCTTTACTGTTATTCTTCCCAACTCAGTGAAAGAGGGATATTTGGAGATGGCTTTGTCCTCTTATTATAGAATATTATAAAATGCCACTGGAACTAATACAGTGGCCATACACAGGGTAGCACTGTCGTCTCCAAGTACACCACCAGTTATCACCTGTTCCTTAAGCCAAGGTTTCTTTATTTTTTGTATATTTTAAATTAAATACTTAGACTTGGATTTTTTGCTTTTTAAAAAATAATTGATTTCTTTATGTAATATGTCAAGTTTTTCTTTTTTTTTTTTGTTGAGTGAATTAAAGCATCCAATATGATGACATCATTTGACAGGGTTATTTGTACCTCTGCCTGAAGCCATAAAGGCTATAATTTTAGTCTCTTGCGCACAACATACCCATATTTGTCCCGTATGCCTGTAATAATTGGTTTACTCTGACATAATCATATTTGGAAACTACATGCTGTACTGTCAGGTATGGAACCCCCCTCAATTGCTGTCGGAGATAGAGGTTATAGTTCACAAGCTGTCTGATGACAGGGTCCTCCTTTGATATTTAAAGGCCGTGCTCGCCCTCAGGCTTTCAACCACATGCGCACACACTTGCTTTTGTGTCTCATCATTGATTTATGCTGTTGTTCCATAGCAGCATCAGGCTTTAGCTCATACAGGTAATGTACAGTAGGTAATGACTGGATGTAGTAAATGTGAGTCTCATGTTTAAACCAGTTTAGCAGAGTAACCTGCTAAATAATCTTCAACTACAATCTAAAGTGACTACAACTAAAAACAGGTTATATAATTCTGGATCCATTAATTTGCTTGTTATATCACTCCCCTTTTGCTCCTGTTATTCTGTGTTGTGGTACCTTCAGGGACATCAGTAAAATATCCCAGGTTATACCTGTTACACAGCAAACCTAGAGCCATCAATGCTCACATCATACAGATGATGTCTGAGATTGATGCAAAATAATGTTGAGGATCAACTTAACAGCTAAAATTCCATATTAAATACTATAGTACATTATATTTACTACAGTATATACTAACTGTCATAGTACATTTACATTACATTCACTCATTTGGTAGCCACTTTTATCCAAAGTGACTTACAGGTGAGGGACATCCCTAAAGCCTCAGTGCAGAAGGAGACCTTGGCTTAAGTACTAAGCACTACATCTATTTAATAGATGCAAGAAGATCAATTAAAGAAGTGCACCAAAGGTGCAGGGTAAGTACTAGTTTGGCATGTTGGCATACAGCTGGTATATGGGCACTCATATACAAGGAATCTGTGTACTGAAAGCAAAATGTTTTTCTGTTTTGTTCTTCCAAGATCTTTCTAGAGCTTTTTCATCACAATTCACAATTCATTTTTTGCAGCTTACTATAATATATATATATATATACATACATATATGAAAAAAACAAGCAGTTTGCATATTTATTTTTTAGCCAAGCTAGTGGGGTGGCTCTATAGGGATGGCATTGTTGGTCGATCCACCACTTCAGTCCAGTCTGGAATAGCTCAACAACTGTCATATGAATTGCCATCATATTTTGTACGTGGTCCCATCAGGAAAATTGCAATAACGGAAAAAATCCCAGCACCATCTAAATGTGTCCAATACTTGGTTTATGACTAAATACCAGCAAATCTAATGATATTCCCATCAGCCTCAGCTGGACTTTAGTGTTCAGTGCTTATTGGCAGTTGTTAGCACGCTAACGCGCCAAACTAAGGTGGTGAACATGGTAAATGTTAAACCTGCTAAACTTTAGCATGTTAGCATTTAGCTCAAAGCAACGGTGTGCTTAAGCACAGCCTCTCAGAACCATTAGCATGGCTGTAGACTCTTTAAGTTCACTTGATCTTGTCACCTTCCCAGTGTGAACACATGACATACTCAAACTTTGTTGGAATAAGTATGTAGTATGAAACTGAGACAGTAAATTTCTTGTGTAACATATAAGCATTCTGTTTCATTTATAAAACAAACATAACACACTGAAACTTGTAATCTCTTATTGACACACACAGAGGAAGATTGACAACTTTCATCATATTTCTATCACTTTATTTAAGCAAAGAACCTTAAAAACACTGCGAGTGGTCACTGATAAAAGCAAATATCTACTAAGTACATCTCTCTTTGGACTACACATAATATTATAATAATTAGATTTATATCTTAAAAATGTCATATATTATAAAGACGTATAAATGTATTCAGAATTGACACACAGTTTGTTAAATTATTAAAATCAGTGGATTCTAAATACAATAATGAAGCAAGGAAAGGTTCAAGAATATCACTGCAAAAACATCAATGAAATTCCCATCTGGAAAAAAAAAAGAAAATCTTAAGTATTGTCACACTACAACATTGCATTGAGGTTTCATAATTTATAAAAACAATATTGCCCAAAATTATCTACCAAAGGCACCAAGACTGTGAGTCTTACATTTCCTATTTTGTTCACAGTGATTTCAAATGATAGATTTCAGCAGCAGGACTGAAATCCTTCAGGCTTCAGTGTATTGAGGTGAGCTCCAGAGTTGGCTTGGATCCTGCATTAAAAATCAGCTTAACTTTTCGTGCTACTGCTTCGTCATTTTCTTTAAAGTTAAGTCAGATGCAGATCCACAGCTACTCCAGAACTTGCCATGTGCGACTGTATACAGAGGCTCGGGAGTGAATGGTATGTATAACATTTGTTAGGTGTGCTGTGAAAGAGTCAGGAACTCCTCCCGGGTTTTGGGGTCCTCTAGGTAAACTCCCAGCATGGTGCTCGTCACTGTGCGGCTGTTCATCTTCTGGACGCCACGCATTACCATGCACATGTGCCTGCAAAGACACACATAACATACATGGGCTCAGATTTGCAGGTACAGCATTTGACATGCACCTGTCTTTAAAGGGCAACACTACTGGTTTTTACTCACAAAAGTCTGTTCACACATCCTGGGGACTGCTGTGTGAAAAAAGCCTCATTAGGTAATGTAGGCGCCAAGTCTTGACAAGGAAATAGAATGCATGGAATAAAAAAAGTTATCTCTGATTCTACTGCATTGACTTTGATCTTATCCATCATTAGTCTGACGAAGTTTCGAAGTGCAATGCTAAATCAGTGCAGTACTCTCTTAAAGCAAGAATACGTAACGTTTGTTGAACAGCAGCTACTGAAGCCACAACATATGTAACTAACAAGTAAGAGCCATGAACTTGCTCAACCTAAAGCCATTGCTCAAACCAAGAATGGCTGTAGCAGAGTGACCTGATTTGAGCAGGAGTGGCATTTATTGCTCATGACTTCAACTTTTCATTCGTGAAAGGAAGATTGTGTTAATTCTACTTTTTAAAAGTCAAGCTGTCTCACTTTAGGAAATATGATGTTTTCACATTTTGCCTGTGGGGTTTAGAGCACCTTTAAATCATGTAAATGATGATAATGAATGATGTGTGTGTGTGTACTTACGCTGCTTCAATAACCACAGCTACGCCTTTCGGCTGAAGAGCCTCAGATATTCCCATGGCAATCTGCTTGGTCAGACGCTCTTGAACTGAAAGAGGGGAAATAAGTGGACATATGTAAACATGATGCATTCAAATTCTTTGGTAAAATCATGTGCAAAGGCTATAAATCCTGCACAATGTCTTTGATTGCTTACCTTGAAGCCTGCGACTGAAAATCTCAACAATCCTGCAGAAACCAAAGCACATTAAAGAGGAGAGGAGTGATTACGGATCAGGCGTAATAATGATTAATCTTTTAATAAACATAGACAGGAATCAGCCGCTGACCCCTGGTCTCCATACTGGCCATCCAACTGTGCAGACCCTTCATCTGTGAATGATTCACCCCACTGAATTCTCTGAATCTGTCGAGCAAGATTCAGCTACAGCAAGTTTGCCTACAAACCCAGTGACACTATTCAGGGTTGTGTATTCAGAGATGGTGCAATATTTTAGGGAAGGGAGAGAAGGAGACAGACAGGCTGTGATAATAACTGGTGATTCCCACAGGTCCGAAGGGATTTTCTCATGGCTCGAGAGCAGAGAGTTTAGACTTGTGTCTGTGAGTGTGCTTGATGAGGGGACTAGATGTGGCCAGCGGGCTTAGACTCTAAGCCTCCAGGTCAATGCACTGAGATAACAGAAGAACGCAGCCACCCGGCACTAACACCAGACAAATACAGCCACAGTGACAGCAGGAAAGTGTGAATGTGAGTGTGAGTGTGTGCTGTGTTACCTTGCCAGCTTGCTCAGTCCCACCACTTTTTTGTTGGGGATATATCCAATGTGAACCTAAAGAGAAATGACAGCAAATGAAAGCAGAAGTCACATAATCAGAGTAAAAGATGGTCAATTGTAGGAATTCAATTCAATTCCTCACTATGATTAGAGAAAGACACACACATCTGTCATCATCATCATCATCATCATCATCATCATCATGCCAGTTATTTGTTTTTAGGGTTACTTTTAAACCAGAAAAACTTACCCTCCCGAAAAAGGGTACCAGGTGATGCTCACAGAGTGAAAACATATCTATGTCTTTCACAATCACCATCTCATTATGGTCTTCATCAAATATGGCATCATTTAAGATGTCTGGGGGCACAAGCACACAGATACATTTTTAGAAATACCATCATAATTTACACATATTAAGGAATGTGGTCTCAAATCAGGACCAGATTGGTGGGTTTGTGAATATAACTTTTGTTGAATCAATTAGAAGTTTCCCTGTGATATATGAATAGCATCCTAACATTTTACGGGGTTTAACCGTAATACTGTCTAGTACTTGCCGGCTATAGCATCTTTATGAATCATGTAGGGCTGCAGCTTACAGTTACTTGATTTTTTTTAAAGAATAAATTCTTAGAAAATAGTGAAAACTGTCTATTAAAGTTTCCCAGAGTCCAATGTGACGTTTTCAAATGTCTTGTTTTGTCCAACCAACATTCCAAAACCCGAAAGGAAACATCAAATATGACAATATCTAAAGTGGTGGCTGATTAATTTTCAACAAACTAATAAATTAATTGTCTCATTAAATCTCTTACATTGTTGAAATCTAACAGATTGAAGAATCTAACTATAGTCGATAGTCCTGACCAAAATAAAACTCACTACATACTTCCACTTTTGTCAGTAGGCTGCCTGCCTACTTATCCAGAGGAGCAAAAATTCTCAGCTTACAGTTCAATGCAATTCAATGCAACACCACCACCTAAAGCTCCAGCACCTCTACGCAACAAGTAAAACTCGAATGGGTCTTTCCATTCACTCAAGTAGGCCTATGCATTTTCCCAGTTAATCCAGTCAGCGAGATCATATCAGATTGTAATTACACAAGAGCATCTTCCAGTGTCAAAAAACAAGGAACCTGTTGACTCACCGTCGATGGTCTCATGGTAACCCTTGGTGAGGAACTGCATGGCCTTAGCGGCGCGCAACGGCGTGCGCAGCAGCCCCTGCCGGTCCGTGTCCTCGCCGAGCTCCCGTAGGATGCTGGTGTAGGCGGCCTCGAGAGGAGGTAAGCGGGACTTGTCCTCGGCCTCCTTGCGGGACGTCTCGTGCTTACGGTGCACGGCGGCCGTCTTGGTGTCTATGATGAGGTTGCTGAAGCCGTTGTTGCAGTGGAACTCCTCCACGGCGTCGTTGACCTTTCCGTTGCAGTGGCCGTTCATGTCGGAGCGCTCTCTGACTCTGGAAAGAGAAACGGGAGGAAGAGACAATGAGAGAGGGTCCTGGAGTTCAGTTGCCCAGCAGGTCTGACAGGCTACGCCTCTGCCCGGTGCTCTCTGGGTTTATAAAGACCTAACCAGTGGCCGCGTGCGCATCCGTTTCCCATTTGTCAAAGTACCACCTACGTCAAAACACCGGGTTTCGTCAGCGGAGTTAAATGTCAACGCAGAGTACCTTTTCCCAAATTGCACGGTGCATGCAACCAATTCTCTCTGCATCTCTCATCACTTGGCACTTATCACCCGTTCTCATTCATTAGTTCTGATTATTTTACAATGCTCGAAACTAGACAAACCACTCTTACAAAGCTCAGCAGGCTCATGACTTCACGTGGAGATCAAACATGTTCTCATGCAGTCAGGCCTATTATGTCTCTTGAACGTCCATGTAAATCCAATCAGTGTCAGAAGCCATATATTCAAACGGAATTTCCTGAAAAGCCACAAACAATAGGCTAAGGGGAAAGAATGTAGGTGGGACAGAAAAACATTCAATAATAATTTTTTTTATCAAAAAATTTCTTGCTGTAATCATTCCTTCTGTTCATATTGGCCATTTCAGTGTCAGTGATGGGAAAAAATGACAGACCAAAATGTTTTCCATAGTTTATCTGAAGTTATTATGAGGCTTCAGTTGTTCAAATTAAATTAATCCAGTGGATAATTTCCTGCTGTCCTTGCCTTTTTGCTCAACAGAGTAACACTGTCAGAGGAAATACAAAGGGGGGATTATATATGTTTGAAGATACCTGTTGATTTGTTTAACCGAAACTGCTAAATCCTCATATTGATTTTGTCCCACATCCCTGATATTGAAAGTGCATTAAGAAGATATCTTCTAATGGTCAGTATGAACAAATCTCAATAAAAGACACAAATCTACAAACAAGTGGACAAGACTGGTGTAACTGACCGGTGATGCTTTGACTCAAGTAAGGGGTTTTACCATTTGACCCAGATAGCTGGATTGTTCTTTTGATCCAACCTGGTGAGTAAAATTTACTCTACTATAACAACAACTACAACTGTATGTTATGTAACAATTATTATTGTTGTGTATTTTAATCATTTTCCATTATCATGCAAATACATACACCGCATGTTTGAATGGCATGGCCTGAAATATTGATGAAGGTCTGGCACGTCATCACCTGAAAATGTGCAGGAGTGGTTGACTGGTCTCTGCATTTTGTAAATACTCAACCATGTTGGTCCACACCTGTTAATTACACACTAGTCACTTATTGTTGTAATATAACTGACATTTAAGTTATTGAGCTTAAGTATCAAAATCAAAAGTGATCTTTTGTCCTAGCATAACAGGAGACACGTTTGATTCTAATTGGGTGTAGCTGACGACGTTAGCTATGCAGCTTCTTGGAATCATCTATGACTGCATGTGTTTTCACAAGTCCTGGAAAATGTCAGGATAGGTGTCACACATTCTCACATGCACACATGCAATTACATTTACTTTTGTCCCCTACATCAACACACAACAGTTCCCATTTAAACACATAATGTACGTATGACACCCAAAGCACTTAGCTTTCCTCAAGATTGGATGATTTTTTTTCCCTTTTTATAGTAGGGAGGAGATTTCCATATGTAATAGGAGAGAGTCAGTTTATGATACTTTATAAATTGCACTTTATCATGTAAAATTGATTTTTAATATCCAGTTTTACACTCAACCTGAGATTTTGCTTCTTGGTTTTCCCTGTTGCCATCAAAGACGGCTGTTCAGTGATGCCAGTAATATATATTGCTCTGGTGGATTGATAATAAAGCACCTACAATTGTGGCATGGCTCATGTTTGAGCCAATAGCAATTGAATATCTAACATACAGTTTTAAATGTAAAGTAGATCTGATGTTTTGGGCACCCTAAAAGTCTTTCAAATAGTGTGTGTTGAAAGGTTTGTTGAAAAACTTAATAAAAAAAATTGTTAAAAGCAAGACAACAATAATACAATACAAAAACACACAAAGAAGAGGCACTTCCTTATCTCATGGTCCAGGGTCCACCCTGTTTCCATGGGAACACGCTACGATGACATGACGTAACTTCCGGTTTGTCCACAGCGGTGGCGGGAGATTCCAGCATGGCGGTGCAACCAAAGCAGAACCTTTCCATGGATAGTGCAGCCGAGCATGGCTTTCTAAACTTCATTTTCTCCATGCCGGAGAAGCCGGACACCACTTTCAGAATATTCGACCGTAACGACTACTACACTGTTCACGGGAAAGACGCCACATTCGCGGCGAAAGAAGTTTTCAAGACGAATGGGGTCATCAAATATTTGGGCTCAGGTATCCTAGCATCTGTAGCCTAGCTAAACATGCAGCTAGCTGAAGCTTGCAAACTGGTGGCGCTTGCCGTTAGCAATCTGCGTGTTGTTGATGCATTTACTCAGGCTAAGCTAACTACAAATGTATTTATTACACTATCTGCAGTCCATAGGCCTGTACTACGAAGCAGGTTCAACATACCCAGCATATCTTTTTGTTATCTGGCTAAATTGAACCTTACATTGGTCGTCCTCGATAACCTGTACTACGAAGCTGGTTATCAACTCAGTTGGTTTACCTATCCGGCTACGAGCGCGTTCACGTGAAAGGTGGAGTTGTCAAATTGTAAATGATAAGCAACGTCGCCAGAACAATGAGTAAAGTACTTAATGTGACATGAGAGGAAACGCTGATGCCTGCAAGTAAATTCGTTTGTAGAAACATCCAAAAGTGATATTCAGAAAGGTGAAATGGAAACAATATGATCACATGACTACAATATAATGGAAATATTATTATAATATAAGTGTGTGGATAATATTTCTAATAAAAGATATCAGAGGGTTTAGTTTTTATTTCTAGCTCTGGTCACAGAGACTCCTGTTAATCAGAGCTGCAGTGATGAAAGAAGAGTAGAAGCATCAACACTGTCAGGAATCCCTTTGTGATTAAAGAATCTTATTGAATTAAAATTACGCTATAACAGTTAGTATGTTGTTATTTAGTGCAATGAACTCTCCTTGCATTTGTTACAAGGTCTAAAACCAGAGTGGACACATGCAAGGTCTGGAAGAGCAAAACAATTCAACTGATTTATAAAAAGATCTACTGCTCGTTATTATTTGAGATAAACCAACCCTGGTTTCAAGTCTAATATTAATTCATTAGACTTTGTGCTGTTTGAAAAAGCATTTATGCAGCACAATACATTCAAGTGCTGTGTCAGGTCTCAATTATAGTATGTCACATGTCTTTAAACATCTTATAGTTAAGTCAGTTTGCCCCTGTGTCTTACACATCTGTCAAGTTTAATGTTTAAAAAGAGATGTGTTCATGATATTCCTTGAAAGAAACAATAGTGCCCCTTTATTTTATCTGTGCTTCTGTGCCCCTATGAATAAATATGAATGGATCCCTGACGTTGTTTGTAACATCAATATGATATTATATATATGTTTGTCAACAGGGAGTCGCAAGCTGGAGAGTGTAGTCCTGAGCAAGCTGAACTTTGAGGCCTTTGTTAAAGACTTGCTGCTGGTGAGGCAGTACAGAGTAGAAGTGTACAGGAACCACAGCAAGAGCAGCAAGGAGCATGACTGGAAGATCGAGTACAAGGTATTGTATTGACGATGGAGCAGTGTCAGTGTGATTTCCGTTTGTTGAAAAACCCATGAACCTTTTTAAATGTAAATGAGCTATGGTGGTATGTTGTTGTCTTACTTTCATTGTGCCAGTGCTCCATTATGAACTGTGTTCTTTATAGATACCCTGTACTTTACATTTTGCTTTTATGTTCCATGCTTTAATTAGTAGTTGCTAATGTTGCCTTGTCTGGTCCATACTGTCTATACTCATATTACCAAGGCCTGGGTGATATGGTTGAAGTATCAGACTATGGCAAATGTATGCAGAAGTCATCAGATTTTGTTTTGATGTATGTATAAATGTACAAAAATGCACTAAGTCAAGGGATAACTTGAACCTGCAGATCTTAAAGTCTTAAAAAGTACTGAATTTAAAGTAGCTGTTAAATAAATCAATACAATAAATGTTCTCTCCATCATTCTGCCTGTTACGGTCATGCATCTTGTCTGTTTCCTCCACACTCAGGCCTCTCCAGGAAACTTGACCCAGTTTGAGGAGATTTTGTTCGGTGGAGGAACCGGTGCAGAGGGCTGTGCAGGTGTTGTAGCCGTGCGCTTTTCTACAGGAGCTGATGGACAACGCGTGGTTGGGGTCGGCTACGTGGACGCAGCCCAGAGGACGATGGGAGTATGCGAGTTTCCAGACAACGAGATCTACTCCAACCTGGAGTCCCTGCTTGTTCAACTCAGCCCTAAAGAGTGTCTCTTAGCCCAGGGTGACGGCAACGCTGATGGCAATAAACTACGAGAGGTACACTGACTTTAATTCAGCTCAGTGTAACTTTATCTTTGCAGGGGCAATTGGATGCATCATCTGATCTCACCACCCAGGTCAAGAGATACACACCAAATAAATAGGAGAAGAAATTAATCACAAAACACTGTTAATCACGGTGCAAAAAAAAAAAAAGAAAGGCTTTAAGCTTGAAAACTATGTGTGGAATTAGTAAATTTAGCAATTTGTTGCCAGACCAGTCCACCCAATGCTGATAAAGTCTATCAGCATTTTGTTAAAACATGTCTTATTATTTTCTGAAATCAAAAAAACCTGCCTGCCACCATTTCACAATAAGAAACCATATCAGACACAAATTATTATTTTTAGCAGAGTATTCTTAGATGTCTTTAAACACGTCTAGAGGGTGTTATTAAACATTTTAAGAGACTATCAGTATGGTATGGTTTGAATTATCGGATAATCTTATATTATTTATCATTTTATGTAATTTATTTGGTTTTACTTTCTACTTTTATTATTTATTAGTTTATCAGTCTTTCCTTTGTTAAAGCTCTTTCTAACTTTGTCAAGAAAAGTGCTACACAAATACAGTGATTATATCGATGTGTCTTTGTAGGTGGTGGAGCGCGGTGGCATGCTGGTCTCTGACAGGAAGAGGGCAGAGTTCAGTAGCAAGGACATGGTCCAGGATCTCAACAGGCTGCTGAGAGCCAAGAAAGGAGAGACTGTGGCCAGCAACACTCTGCCTGAGCTGGACAAACAGGTGGACAAAAAAAGGAGCTTCCTGACACGTATTTCCAACAGGGACAACACAGTAACAATAGTGAGGGAATATAAATCTTATAAGTATATGTTATAGGTTTGACCAGAATCTGTGTGTGTGTGTGGTTTCATTCACAGGTGGCTATGTCATGCTTGGCTGCAGTGGTGCGTTTCCTTGAACTGCTCTCAGACGAGTCCAACTTCAACTCTTTCAGTCTGACCTCTCTGGACCTGGGTCAGTACATGAGGCTGGATAACGCAGCCGTGAGGGCTCTTAACCTCTTCCAGGTCAGTGGACCAGGTCAAAAACCTTTTTTCTTTCTGACTCCTACTAGTATCTAGCCATGCAGATAGTTTCTTCAGGTTTTATAGATACATACCTCTGAGATTCCCCTACATGCTATTTGACTTATATCCTCCAGGGTTCACCTGACGACACCAGCGGAGCTCATTCATTGGCTGGTCTGTTGAACAAGTGCCGTACACCACAGGGTCAGCGACTGGTCAACCAGTGGATCAAACAACCACTCATGGACAAAACCAAAATAGAGGAGAGGTAATACAATGATGGGAATAAACAGAGATCAAACACTTTCATGAGAGATGTCCAGAGCCAATCATATTTTAATGTGTTTAAGTGTTGGCAGCAAAATAAAGCTGATCAAAAGATCTGATCTTTAATTCCACTCATTCTTTAAGTTGATTTTTCATATCAAATCAATAATTTAACGACAGCAAACTTATGGAAATTAATCGCATTCGTAGGACAATTTTGAGGATACTCTTAACGTTTCTGTGTGTGTGTGTGTGTGTGTGTATGTGCGTGTGTGCGTGTGTAGGCTGGACCTGGTGGAGAGCTTCGTGTGCGACTCTGAGCTCAGGCAGACCTGCCAGGAGGACTTGCTGCGGCGGTTCCCTGATCTTCACCGTCTGGCCAAGAAGTTCCACCGTCACACGGCGACGCTGCAGGACTGCTACAGGGTCTACCAGGCCGTGAGCCATATCCCTGCCCTCATCACAGCATTGGAGAGATACTCGGGTACACACAAACCTGCAGCAGTTGAATCAGTACAGTTTACTGTACAATCAGATGCCAGTATTTTAGGAAGTTGCTCCTTCTTTAAAATAGCTTTGATTGATCTGATCTTCAAGATGCCGGATCCGTTGAGCAGAAGTAACACAGTCAGTGTAATTTTTCTGCGCTTACTAGAGAAACACTTTCTTGTTCTTTGCTGAAAACACACGACATGGTCTTCAGCTGTTATAGCCCATTCAAATCCAATTAGTAATGACTTATTAGATGACATTTGGTACAACATTGCTTCAGTCACATATGAGTTTTACCCTCTGATCGGCAGGATCACTGAGAGTCACTGATACCTGGTAGTTTTTTGTTTTGTGTTGCTCCGTTTTTGCCAAATTGGTTTCATAACAGCTTAAATGGACAGTCACTTAGAGATGATAAAATCAGCTACAATCAGTATGTATGGTGCTGTGACTTGCTGTGATCAGTGAGAATTTTTATGATTTGTCCTTCCTACATATAGTATATATTCATTAATCTCTGGTGTGTGTGTGTGTGTGTGTGTGTGTGTGTTGCAGGTAGCTACCAGGTTCTGTTGGGAGGCAGTGTTCCTGTCCCTTCTCAGAGACCTGCTGAATGACTTCACCAAGTATCAGGAGATGATTTGAAACCACTCTGGGACATGAACCAGGTCTGACCTTTCACATTTCTATACATGTGAAAAAAGGAAGGATATTGTTCTGTGTTTGCATATCTTCAACGCTGCATGTTGCTTACATGTTTCCTTTCTTGCATGTTGGTTGCTCCGTGCAGATCGACCACCACGAATTCCTGGTGAAGGCGTCGTTTGATCCGGGTGTTGAGTGAGCTGAGAGAAAAGATGGATGCGCTGGAAAAGAGCATGCAGGCGGGTGCTGAACAGTGCTGCCAAGAGAACTAGGTGATTACACACACACACACACACACACACACACAAAAGATTATCTTTTAATGTCAGATCTGTATCTGCAATAGAGTTAGAGACTGTATTTTAAGGTGGTGACTGCACGCGTGCATCTGAATTGATGAGATTTTTTTTAAAGATGTGGTGTGACGAAAATACCAAAGCCAGTCGATAACACCATGGAATCATCCAATAAAACAAATTCTTTTTGAATGTGATAAATATTGCAGATTGCTCCTACCAAAGGGGATAAAAAAATCAGACTGGATGTCTGCAGTGTAATTAATGGAGAACTAAAGAAGAAAAACCCTAAACATAGTGTATCAGCTGATTCCGTCTTTCGTTAACTGGAAGACGGAACAGTGGCATTATTCATTACAGATGTAATAAAGACAAACTTAATTTTGTTTGTAGTTGTTATTTAACAAAGTGTGTTAAAAGTCATTTACACAGTTTTGTCTGTTGTTTTACTTAAGTTTAAATAAAGCTAAGATTGAATTTTGGAGCATTTGTTGTTTTTCACACACAACAACTTAATCATTATTTTCTTAGAATGGACAGAAGAATTTGACACCACATTGTTAAATGCTTTTAACACAACCAGCTGCATATACTCTGTATACCCCAAAGTAATTGATTACATTATTACATTTATTCATGTTGGATAAAAAATGAGGGAATGTTTGCCCATCTCTAATAGGACACTAATTATGCCTTCAGTCATTAATAGCTGAGGTAATTGTGTTTACTTATCTTTAGTAACTTTATGATGGGAGAGCAATGATCAGTGTTGAGAAAAAATGTTTAATTTGAGTTAAAGTTGATGATTTTCACCTCGGTATCTCCAGAATCAACTTAGCCAGTGCATTTTTGAGAAGATGCGTGTAAGCTACTGTACATCAGGCTGTGTGTGTGTTAGGCTGTCACTGGTACAATAAAAAAACCATTTGCAGAGTAAATATACATCTTTGATTGCCAGAAAATTCTTTTTCTTTTCATTTAGATAATATTTAGTATTTGATTTAAGTGAAAATGAAGATTAGTAATAAGTTTGTTTTAGACCCTTGTGACATTACATCAGAAATATCTCTCATGACCGTAGGTGAGGGTTGGAACTTGATTCAACTTTTTGTTGCCAATTGCAAGAGGTCAGTTGAGCTGGTCTGCGCATCTGATAGATGCTTGCTCAGATGATGGATTTCTGAAGTTGACAAATATTTTTTTTTTTTGTGTGTGTTTGGGAATTTCTGGTTTGAAGCTCATTGTAGTAACTTTGCGTTTCAGGTCTGGATCCTGGCCAAGACGGTGAAGCTGGAGTCGAATGCCATGCTGGGTTTTTACCTGAGAGTCACCTGCAAGGAGGAGAAGGGTCTGAGAACAACAAGAAATTCACCACGCTGGACGTTCAGAAGAACGGAGTGCGTTTCACAAACAGGTCCGTGTCACTGTGTCACCAGTGTTTCCCACAGATTTAGAAACCACAGTAACACACACCAATGTCACACACCTAATGTCAGCTTCGGACAACACCCACTCTTCCTGTCAGCTGATGGTCTGCACTCTTGCATGTGCACTTTCACATGTCCACAGTAAGCTGAGTTCTCTGAATGAGGAGTACACCAAGAGCAGGGAGGAGTACGAGGAGGCGCAGAATGCTTTATCGTCAAAGAATCATCAACATTGCCTCAGGTGAGGAAATCTCCCCACATGCTGCCTCAACCGTGTTCTCATCTTAGAAATATGGACAATTGATTTAAGTCAGAATTAATATAAAACCCGCAGAGACAACGTGGGAAATATAGCGATCTCTTCGATTAATTGAAATTTTGGCTTTATTGTTCTGACCTCATTAATGTCTGCCATTACTCTCTGTGGAATTGAATGGTAATTGGTGAATTGTGCACAGGTCACAACCGCGATTCTGAACCTGACACAGGGATTCACGTGGTACCTCCAGATTAATTTTACACTCTGAGACGACAACATGAAACTATATGTCTTTGATAACTGAAGTGAGACTGATTGATGTTTCCTTGAATCCAGGACTGACATGAGTATGCAGGTTTTATTTGTTGGCTTGTCTCGTGTGTGTTCTGCGTCTGAATAAATCCTGCAGAAGGACTCCAGTGTTCGGATAAAGCAGCCAGTTCCTTCTGTTTTTCACCGCGACATCGATCTCCATTATGAACCTTAAAGCGGTTCTCATCTGATGTATGAGTGCGAGCCGCTTTTCTCTGCCGCAGCTCATTCCTTCCCCATTAACGGTTGGAAAAGAACAACGCTTTGTTATTTTTCTTTCCTGTGGGCCCGGGAAACACCAAGAAACAAGTCATTCAACCTAAGGCTGAAAAAGACTGTTCTCACCCACCTGCCACTCAACAGCGCCCTGAACATCCAATCCACTCATCCAATTATTCGAACTTTATTTTCCTTCTGCTTCCAAAA